TCTCTCGAATTCCCGCATGTGACTCCAGCCATCAGTCTCTAGTTTTATGTATGGCATTTTACGGTCTCGTGTAAAAAACATGAGCGAAGAGACATTCTCAGACATTTGTTATACTCTCTCCGAAAGGAATTCAGTACTCAAGTAAACTTGGGCTCAGAAATACTGATCTTCATGGTGTCCAGCTTCTTGTTCACATCCGCGTACAAGTGTAGGTTTGTGCTTTGGTTTGTTGCGAACTCAGATTCTCCTCCATGGACAAAAATTACCGGCTGATACATAAGGCTAGAGAAGCTTATCGCATCCGACACACTCCCGGGCCCGGAATCGTATTGAAAGTCTGATCACCAAATCGTATTGCTGTCCTGGAATCAAATATAATCTTCCCAAAGTTTATGGTTGGGGTATGGAGTTGTATCCACAGCTGTAGTGCGCGTGCCAGTTTGGCAACGTAAATCTAGGTATATTGCTTCCGTCGCAAATGCTGTGGCATCGAAGCATTCCATCACCGAACTTCCGAGGAACAGCAGCTGTCTTCCGCCAAAGCTGCAGGAATTGCAGCGACTTCCTCAGAGCCAAGAAGTACCACCGATGCAGAGCAGAAGTCCGACAGCGATGTTGTGGGGAGCCTTGCCACTCAAATCTAGCTGTCCGTCGTCTGCTCTACTGTACGACAACTCGCCAGCTTTCGCAGCCTGCGCAATTTCAGGATAGGTGCCCATCAAGCATCAGCCTGCAGCTTGTACAACGGCCGTGATGCCTTGAAAGCAGTGGGTGAGCCCATGGGTGCGGGGGTCTTGGAGCGCAGTCCTACCGCCAGGCATCGCAAGTAGAGCCACCTGCATCCCTCGAGGCGTGGAACTGGGTCTTCTTCCAGGCTGATCCTGTCAACCTGAAAGTTGTGGGTGGTGGAATCGGGAGCCTGGAGGAGATGAAATCCTGCCGCGGCCTCAAAAAGGACAAGTGAGACATCTGTAGCCTTCATCGCGCGCTCTTCTGCAAATTGTCTTGGGCCGAGCTCCGTGCTCGAATAACTTTGTGAGGCTATGAAGCGCATCCGACAGACGTACTTTTCGGCTTACTGCGCTTGGGATTCGGCGAGGGGCGCCTGCGACGGACGAAGTACGTCTTCATACATGCCGTTGGTGTCCCTCGGCTGCAGCGGGCAGCAATGGAAGGACAATGATCCAAGTACTGCTGTGTAACCTAGGAGGCAAGGGAAGGACGGAACCAGACAAGCAGACAGGTATAGAGGGAGAAGACGTGCTTTGATTTGGGAATGATTGGTTGCTTGGGCTGTGAGCGATGCGGGCCAGAAGACATGAAGGCGGAAGATAAGAGGGAAGGACCCAATCGCGAGCACACACAAGACCGCCAAGTTGCAATGTCCTCTATGGCGAGTAAAGCATAGGCAGATCCGATGAGAGTCACCTTTATTTCTTGCTCACGCTCAGCACAGAGGCGAAGGCACCAGTGGTAGCACGCGGGAGACTGTCGGCTGAGAGACCGAAGATGGAGGAGGCTGCATCGGTCAGTGCCAGGGCTAGGCCAGCAGGACGAGCGGTATGCTTCTGGCAACTTCGGCAGGTCTTTGGGCAGTTCGCAAGTGCTTCGGTCATGATGGAGATTCAGCATCTTGCAGACCTCACGCTGGACAGCGTTGTGGAAAGGGTGCCATGTCAAAGCATTCAGCGCTTGCTCGTCACGAAGAAACTAGAACTCAGCCTGGGGTTCATGTCGAGATGTGTGACATATTCGACAGTGTGCCAATACCACGAGACTCGGAATCATGACCTGCAGCGGGAGTACATTGAGCTGGGAAACGGGAAAGGTGCGGCGTGCTGCCATCGTCGACGACGACATTCTTGGACGGGATGCTGGCTCCCCCTCAGTCACTCTACTGCAGCCTTGCAGGGAGCGGAGTGCTTGGCTGCAGCTTCTTGCGGAAGTCTCAGTTCCGACTGTCCCAACTGTGCTCTCAGGTTTTTTCCGTCGAGGCGTTTCAAAAAGCACTCTGGCTAGCACATGGACGCCTCTGTATTGAAGCACCGTTCCTGGCGTTCACATGAGTTTTTGGTTCCAAGGCACTGCAGGAGGAAAAGCTGGGGCGGGCTGCCGAGCTTCAGACGCTCCGACGCCGGAGCACCGGGCTGGGTCTCGGCGCTCATTTGCTCCGTTCCATCCATGACAATCATGCCGACACCGCAGCAGTTTGGGAACACTTCGACCAGGTACAGGCCTCCCTGCAGATCTTGTCTCGGAATGGGCTGGGCGACCTCTGTCAGAAGTAGTTTCGCTGGTTCACAAAGTTGGTGGGCCACTCAACTGGGCTCTTTTCGCCCCAGCCACCCAGCAAGCAGCAAGAGAGTGATGTGCTCTGGTGCTTACAGTCAAGCAACGGACTCGAACTGCTCCTCTCTTTGAGGATCCAACCTGGTTAAGTCGTAGGCGCACTGTGAAGACCACTCAGGCACGGAGTGTGTTGTGGCGAGACTCCACCAGCCATCACGCTGGGGTGTGCATTTGCCTTGATGTTCCGTTCTGTTTTATAGAGGCGTCCTTGCTACCAGATCAAGTCGCTGCTCCTAGCGGCGGTTATCTTAGAGCAGAGGCGTGCGAGAGTTGGCCTCCTAAGCTCAACCATGTTGACTTTCACAGTCGGAGTCCGTGGATGCTACAGGCCGCGCAGGCTTCCCGAGCAAGCACTCCGGCGAAAGAACGCCCGTGTAAGTCGATTGAGGAGCCAGACAGCGCTGCCAAAGAAACTGCCGCTACGCCTTGCAGATGGACTGTTACTTGTGTGCTGCAGTCACTTTGATTCGGTGCACTGGCGATGCTAGCACTGTCTCGCGACTGAGGAAATAAGCTGCACGTCCACTGCCGCAGACAGCCCAATCACGCCAGCACAGGACTACACCTCAAATGAAGCATGTTGGCTTGTTGTACGGCCCCTGTCCGTCCTTGTCTGACTTCTTCTATCGTCAGGAGCAGCCAGATGCTCAAAGTGATGAGGACACACCCCGAGGAAGCACCATGTCGTTCTACCAGCTACACCACGCAGCTCATCGAATTTCCGGGCCCCTGCTGAAGCAATCCAGTGTCCTGGCTGATGTTGGGTTATGATATGACCATTCGTGACGCCCGACCTCGCGCAGAAAACTCCAGAAACACCGGAGACATCTGGAGACTCGTGAGGCTTTGGCAAGCTAACGTTGCTGTGTCTTTTTGTCGCTCTTGTACTTCTGAACCAGAACATTCGTCATCATCCTGTACACCTCATCAGACGATAATGTTCGCTTGAGGTCGTCGTGTTGACGATGTTTGACGCGAGAATGAGTTGTGGTAGAAATCACCTTGTGAGATCGACGGAGGTGCTTGGCATGGACGCTGGCAGCTGCGATGGATGGAAGTGAAAGGCCGGACATCATCGCTCACCCGACTCACCTGCAAGTTGCACTGAGACTGGCTTCGGGGTGAACATGCATGATGCGGCCGATATGGGTGCGTACAAGCAACACCATGTTGCGGCAGGCGGTCATCTAATGTGGTGGCACGGGCCTACCTTCGTTTCCAGCGAACCAGTGGGTATGCTGCAACTGGCCGGGCTGAAGGCTGAGAACCGCTTTGACAGCAGAGATGGCAATGCTTTCATCTGCCCTGAGAGGTGCACAGCCAGGGAAACACGTTCTCCTTGAGCACATCAGGAGGCAAGCAAAAGGCCCTGCCAGCATCAGAAATGGCAAGTGGGGTACTCCACACCCATGCTGCTCACACAGCTGGAAGGTGTATCACCTCAGTGCAGACATTGCCGATGCCGCTGCTGCTGCTGGTTGGGTAGCTCCAGCATGGCCCAAGGCCCGGCATGAGAGATCGAACGCAGACTTTCGAGCGACGGAAATTGTCAGTCAGTGTCTGCACCTGGTAGTAGCTGATCTTACCTCCCAGACGCTGCCTTGCTCCGGCAGGCAAAATACTGGATCCAGGCCTTGGAACAGGACGCTCACCGGCTTTTCTGGAGTCATCGCACAAAACTCCCTTTACTTTGATCTCAATGTAAACAACTCGGCAGATCCGCCACATCCGTCAACTCCCTAAGTAACCCCGAAGCCGAGTGCCCTGCCCAGCTGGATCAATGAATCAAGCAGGGCCAAAACCCTACAGAGCAACACCTCAAAAGGCAATGACCTCGCCTGGCTTGTCCGAGCGTGAGCGCCGAAAAGCATAAACCCTTCGAAGAAAAGACCCTGCCAACATAAAAGAAAACTTTTTCGGAGGAGAGCCGGAGCCAGGTATCCTTCCAGGGCTGAGAGGAAGAGGAAAAGTACGTTCAGCCCCAACAGGAGGAGGTTTCTGAACAGAACAGCACAGGCACTCCGGGGAACTACCCGGATGTGTAGATAGAGTGTAGACATGTGTAGAGTTTGTTGTCCCGTTTGCAGCCATGCGCCTGTAAACTAGGAAGGCTTGTATCCGCTCGACTCATGGGAAAGACCTGACAAGCGATTTCGAACAGGGGACGCTTTCAGGCCAATGTGTGACGTGGGTCAGACTCTCTAGCGAGCAGGCCTTTGCTGATGCCGCCTAGTTCCCATTCTGACGGACTCAGCTTGCGAAGCAAGCAGCGTCAGGGAATCTCTTGCGAGCATGCGCATACTCCGCGGGAAAAGTTACGGCTTGAGTTTGAACCAGACACAGCATTTACATAGCCTTCGGGTAAAAGCACTTGTCGCTGGTAGCAGATGCGACGGGAAGAGTTTCGCTATCCGCTGCGAGCGATGCCACTACTATCCACATTTGTCCATTACTATGCTTTGTCGGCCAGGTGTTGAATACAACAAAGGGGCTGGCACCTCAAGAGGCTCATTCTTGTCGCTTGAAGTATATCATTGGCCCAGATCAAGCTAAAAAACTGGCTTGCTTCTTTCCAGTCATCTTCACAGTGCCAGGCTTTCTTGCACGAGTCCCCTGTCTTGGTGCAACAAAGAACCTAGGCTGTTAAGAGGATGCTGGGGAAAGTTCACTGCGGATGCCCCTCGGCTCATGCGCGGCAGCGCCTCCAATCACGTGTGGCTCCATGTCACGGTATGTTCTATCTCGGTTATTGGCGTATGCACACACGTATAGCACAAATGCCCCCTGAGCACACAGCCTGGCTGTTCTTGCAGCTTTCAACAACCGGACGTGGCGACTTCGGGACAGTGGGCCAAGGCATTCTACAGGCATTTTCCTCGTCAAGTGGATGCGATGAAAACCATCCGCAGCTGGGACGGCAGCATTGCGGCTTCAGCTGTTCTTTGTGCTGTCTACCATGTGCTTCGACTTGCTGCGCGTGACTTGAGTGTCTCTGGTTGGCATCGCCCCGAAGCAAAAAAACCTCAGGCCACATTATTCTGCATGTGCTCGACATAACGAGATATGCAGTGCGAGAAGGTGAGCAAGTTGAGGCTGGCTCGGCTACTCGCCGTCAGACTTAGAAGCACTCTGTCAGCATGAGTCTGAGAACACCTGACCTCCGGACGCAGGATGTGGAATTACTGGGCGAGGGGAGCTTCTCCAAAGTGTTCGGGTAAAGCCCTGAGGCAAAGGACACCATGCTGGCAGAATGCATTCTGTGAAATCGTGCAGCTTCTGCGAAAGCTCCGCCAGAGTCATCCAGAGTCCAAGTCCAAGCAGTGAGCCCAGGCTCGGCCCAGTTGCTGCGAAGGTCATCAGTGAAAACGAACGGCCGTGGGTACATAGGCTGGGCAAGGCTTCACTGACACTGCCGAGACCGGCACCCGGGAACCGAAAGTACTGTTTGTCTTTGCAACAGGGCAGCGGTCCAAAACGGGCTTCTTGCCGACCTGCACGGCTACGGTGCCCGGCCGAGTGCTGATACAGACAAGAACTGGCGTTTCAACTGCTCGCACAACCCATTACTCATTAGACTATAATTAGACTTCGTGTTAGCCTAGTGAGTTCTTTTGTAAGCACACCAGCAGAAACCACCTCCTGCAGCAGCACCACGACCCCTGCATGTTGCCATCCCGAGGCCCAGCAATTTTTGGACATGGCCGTGTGCAGCAGGATATGGGCGGACACTTCAGAGGCAAGTTGGCCGTTACTGCAGCGCTGCATTCAGGCTTTGCACGAAGAAAGGCATTTTTCACTACCGCGCGACGTCCGCAGGTACGGTGGTGCTCATGGAGAGGCTCTACCCTGCTGGTGAGGAAACTTGCAGCACGGCGGCGTAGAATGAAGCACAAACCAGAAAAGAATGAAAGAATTGGCAGATGCACGGAGAACTGCTCGAGACAACAGACTTGGCCTATGTTCCATGGAGAGCCTCATCTCGACTAGAATGCAGGATTGGTCCGACACAGACACAGACCACGTTTTGGAGGCAAGCATTGCCGGAGGCTTTAGGGTTTAGGATTTTGGGGAACACGCTTGGCTCTGGTCATGCTAACAAGCTCCGCTTTCTTCTAACAGCCGGCGTGACAGGCAATTCAGCGAGTCGCCAAGGATGCGTTCCACAACGACCTGAAGGCCGCAATACAAGCCCCGACTTGACTTGCAGACCCCTTTGCAACGGAAAGCAGGTCATCAAAATACTTGTCTCTACTCATTGCCCTTGCCTGGGTCGGAACCGTCTTGTGACAACCATTCCAAAGCGTGTGTTCGCCATGATTGCAGTCCAACCTGCAGCAAACAGCAGATCCTGATGCCTGCAGAGAAGTTTCTGCCACTGCTTCCCGATTTGAGAGCAGGGACAAGGTGCCACATCCCATGTCCCATGATCAGTTGTAGAGTGGCGTTTGCATGCCTTAACACTGTTCTGTATGTGTTTGGGGAGTTTGCCCTACTCCTTTTCGCATGTTCGTATGCATTACTTGGCATTAGAATCTTCGAGCGTGAAGCCCCAGAAGGTAAAATTGCTTCACAACCCGGCTGCGGTCAGAGAGCCACATGCAGAGATGTCCCAGTATATCGGCCAAGCGAGTCATCCTGAAGGAACGGGCAGCTGCTTCTTCCAGATTAGACAGTATTCGATTGAAAACACCCCATCAAGTTCTCGACTGGTACTCGCATGGCAGATGCCGAATATTCTTCGGAGAAGAGGGCGCCCTCTTCTGTTAGTGGCTCAGTTCATGCATACACTTGCGACCACTCGTGCGACAAGTTTTTGGACGGTGAGTCGGCTTGCGGATCGCTTGCGCCTGACGGCCTTGCATCCACAGGATCGACTTCGACCTGCTATCGCCTTGGTGTGTTAAGGCTGACGGCTCAGAGGCTTTGGAATGATGCCGAGACGCATCGCAATCATCGGTGCCACGAGTCTCGGATCAATGAGGTGGCTGTCACATCAAGCTGCATCGAGCACGTCGAGCGCTCGTTTCCTTCTTGGCGGGGTTTCTCTGCGGATAAGCACGTGGAGGGCGGGCTTCCTCAGAAGCGGTGCGAGAGTCCAATCATGTCCAATCTATCACCGGACTACTTTTGCCAGCTTGCTGGTAGCTGTTGCCGAATCCCTATTGGTTGGGCAAGTCATCGAAGGATGAATGACGGTTCGACTTCATGAGTACAGCCTTGCTAGAAAGCGCCTTCTGCTCGAAAGCAGCTGCATGGTGTCTCCTAGCAGAACTGAGTCTTGGTCCTCCTGACAAAGGATTTCCGGTCATTGCTGGAGCCAGCAGGCAGGAACCATCAGATTCATGAAGTGCTGTTCCGCATGAACTTGGAAAATCAAGTCGACTTATCCGACCAAAGGAGACATTTGCACGCAGTCCTTCCGGGAGTTCTACGACCTTTTTGCCTTCACTCTCACACTGCAGGATACCTTGCTCATCTTTTGTGGTAACTTGCACACACGGTTGAACGCAGACCAGGCTGACATTATCGTGCAAGTCAAGCCAGGCTCGAGACGACAGTTCAGCACAACAGAACGCAGCAAAGCGAGCAAGAGTGCTGCCAGGTGATCAGCTAGGCATCCGCCACAGCATAGCATCTACACGAGCTGCAGTGTAAAAGCACCAGGTATCACTAGTCACGCGTTCCTGCTGGGGGAGAGAAGGCTACACCCAACACCACACTTGTTTAAGCGTTTGTCATCCTGAAAACACTTACATGCAGAAGACAACCGAGGAAGTTCAAAGAGTGATGCAAGTAGCATGTGAATAGCTCTCCTGTTCATCGCTTGTCGCTTCTTCCAGCTTTCGAACGTGTCTGGGCTTCACTGGTGCCTGAGAGAGCCACTTCTTGCTGCATCGTGTTTGGCTATGGCAGCCCAGAGGTCCAAAGCACGTGCTCGGCGCGAGGATGATGGGAGCTTACTGTTTCCTATATACAGGATCCATTGAAATCTGCAAGTTGCGAAAGACCACAGGGCGTGTTGGTGTGCAATCTGATTGGCCAAAATACTGTAGCCATGACTGTCGAGAAGTTATGGACGTGCTGCATTTAGTTTTGCGGAGCTCTCACAAAGGCAATCCTTTGGTCGAGCAGCAGCTCTTTTGGTCTTAAGCTGAGCATGTGGGAAGTGACCGAAGAACAGTACATGTTAGTATGCGTCATGTCACTATCGACTCCTTCTCTGAAGTTCGCTACCGGAAACTCGCTTATCCAGATTTTCCAGCACCGTTCGAGAAGAGGCTGCTCTCGCCCCGAACACGGCGTTCGTCAGCGCAAAGTGTCATGCCAGCAAGAGTGTATAATGGGCTTGTGTGTCAACTTGTGCATGGAGATGTGCCGACAAGCGGGGGAGCTATCGGAGGCTTTCCCAAACTCTTGTGAACTGTTTCATCTCCCCTCAAGTTTTTCGTTTGGCTTTCGGAAGGCAAGGTTTGCCAAGTAGTCGTAGCTGCCCAGGTGCAGCCAGCCACAGGGTGCTTTTGCTGCAAGCAATGCCACGCTGAAACAGGTGTGGCAATGGCCCTCACAGTCTACCGCTGCCGTTCACAGATGCGCTCATGCCCCAGTGTTTGCACTCGTGATGTGCTGCCATGTCAGAAGGCAGCCTTCCAATGCCTGGAGCAAGAAAGAGAGTGAGTGAGACCCTAGCCCTGGCGAAAGAAAGAAGAGAGAACGAACAGGCACAGCAGAGAAGTCTGCAAGCAGTGCGTCACCACAAGCACCTGTCAGCCGCAGCCTCGGCATTCAAGAGTAGTGAGTAGTGAGTGGTGGCGGCAGTCGATCAAAAGCTGTCGTTGTCCCAAATGTCCCAGATTTTTGAGTCAGACCATCGAAACGGCAGCCGAGGTGGTGTCCACTGAGCCAGAGCTGCGGCACCAAGGGCATGTTCTCGAGTGGCTGCATGGGATCTCGCGATCAGGATAAGCCTGCCAGCAGCTCAGCCCGTGGCTTGGCCCGAGTGGGGCTGAGTGATATTGAATGAATCCCCTTGCCTGCAGCAGACAGAAAGCATCAGAATAGGGAGCAAGCTTCCACTGCAAAAACTCAAGGAGGCTGCACGCCTTCATTTCCTTTCAAGATCGGTCTGCTCGTGCTAGTGCCAACACAGGGAATCCTGGTATTAGTCTCCCACCCTCTCCCGAAGCTCAACGCATGCTCCCGTGCTCGGTGAGTTCTCGGGAACCCCGTCAGCACAAGTAGGTTCAAAATCTGCCTTCCAAGCATCAGACGCCCGAGACTTCAAGAAGCGAGTGGGGGCATGTTCGCCGCGAGTACCGGCATCCTGGGAGAAGAAACAGTTTCGTTTAGGTCGATTCCGGCGCAGATTGTGCTGGTCCGAAGCCAAGCTGGATGAGCCTGCTAGCCCTACTCTCAGCCGGTTTTTTTCAACATCTTTTGTCAAGCAAACATCGGCAGCCAGCTCTGGGAATTCCTGCTCAGGACACAAAATATGGCAAGCGCCTGGAAAAGGCACCGTCGGTGCAGCCCTGCGCTGCCGTGGAAATGAAAGGAAGCTGGGTTGCCCTGGTGCAGGCGCAGGCGGACTCTGACATCATGCGCTGCCTTCAAGGACGCTGGTGCCCCAGCCTGGCCAAGGCGTAGAGTCGTAGAGCAGGCCAAGCATGCGCGCTTTGTATTCGGATGAGTTGAAGTCCAGGTGTGGAGCGCTGGACGGCGACTGGGCTGAGGAAGAGCCGCAATTACTGCCGTGGGGCTTGTCGACCGCGAGTTGATTCAGTGCGGATCAGGTTCGTGTGTACATGTCAGACTTTTGCTTGTTCGTCTCGGGGGTGTTGCCATCGACATCTGCGTGAGACATCATGCTCGGTATGGGCAGTGACGAACAGCAGGTCAAAGCATCGGCAGCATTTTCCAGATGGAACGGTACAGCCGGTACAACACATCGTGCCACATCGAATTGTCAGAGTCACTGCTGCTCAGGTCTGGCCAGATACGGAAAATCCTCAACCAAGTGACGAGAAGGCAAGCCTGCCAGCACATAAATGCACCTGATCGACGTTATTTTCTGCAGTGCCACGGTTCCCGACCATGCGTGATGTGATACTTCCACGAGCTGCTCGGATGACCAGACGCGAATTTCGGCACTTGTGGAGCCAGGACTTGACACCTTGAAACGAAGACAATGTAGACAAAGTGCAACACACATCAAAACACAAATTATTGAAGACATTCTCGGCAAACTCAAGAGGAAGTCGACACATCCAGCCCGTCTCAGCCCGACAATCAGCAATCACCACCAGAAAGCTGTTTGAGAGCCCAGCTTGGGCATGCCGGCATGGCCAGACTCGCGGCGGAGACGCAAGCTGACGGGCCAGTACTTCTGAGGTCCCACGGGCGAAAGGGGAGATCTGGAAAAGTACATGAGCGTCCTTCGGAAGAAGAGCAGAAGATGGAGCGCCAGGATGCCAGCCTTGACACGGTGTATATGGGAAATAGAGATAACTAAACCATGGCTAGTCATCGCCAGGCAAATCCTCCGCTTCGTGGTGCCTGTTACTGCTGCCTATGCCTTAGAAGGTTGGCTCCTTGGAGGTTTCTTTTGGCGAAGAAGACGGCTTTGAACTGCTCCATGAGAGGCGCAGCTACTGTGGTGCCGATATGGGCCGCCGCACATGGTGGCAGTCCAGACGCTCGGACTGCAAGTTGTGCACAAACTTATTAAGAATTGGCTCAGCTGTTCGAGTTATGTCCACCGGTAGTGGGAAGCGCACACTTTGCTGTGCCAAGCTATGCCTTGATCAGAGGCTCACCTCGACTTGGATAGACCTTCAATACCGAAGTGTATGCTGCGGAGCTTTGTTTGTCAGGATGAAGCGGAAGCAACGATGCGAGTCGGCGCTGTGGGCCTTGGCAACACTGTGGTGGTGTGTGTGGCCATTGTCATCAAATCAGGCTGGTCAGGCCGACTGGCGAAATGCATTTGGCAGGGACGGGGCTTGCCAATTGCCCATGCTAGAGAATCAAGCAGAAGAACTAGTTGCAGAGATATCAAATCAAAAAGAGAGACGACTGATGTTTCTTGTGTTTTGTTCTGACACGCTGAATATGATTATTATTGCGCCCCAACTGCCCATGCGCATCGGCAGGGGCCCAAGACACACTGGTGTCGCAAGCCTACGGTGTGCAAGATCACCGAAAAGCCAGGGAGCACCTCAACTGTTGCCAGATTTGGATGCTGCTGTTGTCTGCAGCATGCACGCTGCTGCTTCTACAGACAGAGGCGGGGGTTTGTCCGTGCCAGCCTCCCTCGTTTGGGCTTCCAAGGATGGAAGTGGCAGGCTTGTCAAGTACTGGCGTAGTGTTGCCTTTTTCGTTAACTACCCTCAACATGCTGTCGCCAGCGTTTGCATTCATTGGACTTATCATGTACCGTTTCAGAGATTTGCTTGGCCACGTTGGCTTGCCGATGTGGCGCTGCTGCCGAATATTGCTGAATTTGTTTAGACCCCTTCGTTTCGGTTTGACTGCAAGCCGCAATGAGAACTGCAGGCGCTGCTTGTTTGGATCAACTGTGCGAATGAGGAGCTCGCTGCAGAGACGTTTAAGCTTCTCGGTGGCTGTTTTCTGAAAGCATACCAAAGGCCATGACAGGCATGATCAATGCAACAATGACCATAGGGTGCAAAAAATGAATGAGATCACCAGAAGTCCGTTGTTGCACTGAGACTACTGCCCAGAGAAACGAAACCCAAATGAGCGCATCTTTTCGCAGCTTGTTGCTGAAACGCTGCAAAGGTATGTGCTCGCATGTGTTCCTGGAGTTTGGCTGGAATTTCAGCAGCTATGCGGCAAGTCATCATCGTCTGTCGCCGGCCAGTTACATCTATGCATAGCCCCTTTGGACCAACAGCTGGGCCACATAATCTATGGAACAGTGCCTTGCTAGTCAAGGTACGACTCATTGAGGAAGTTCTTGATGAACCAGCAAATCCCGTCACCAGGAGTGTGCATGTGGTTTCCAATCAAGAGGCACGGTGAAGCGAGGATCTAGAATCTAGACAGTCCGGCCCGCAGGTCTGTGGGTGTTATGCGCTGCCGTGCCATGCCACTTTATCATGTGCGTTCTGCTACTGGAAGGGCCAGAGCCCCAGCTCCCGACCTAGCCCAGTTTTTCGGGTGGCTGCTGTCAACTGAGGACTTCCATCGATCCCCTCTTCGCAATTGGGATGGCCTTTTCCGTGAAGTCCGGGCTTTCTTTCCTTCTGTTGGCAGGTCAGCGGGTCGAGGGGAGGGAACTTTCGGAAATTCTGAGCGTCTTGCTCAGACTCCGCCTTTCCGGTTACAAGAGAGTTCACAAGAGTGTGGCATCTTTATTTGCATCTATTCGTGCCTGCCTCGTGAGGCTATTTGACATGGCTGCTGCCAACACCCAGCTGTGTGGGCTGGTGGAGGATCTGGGAGTCATCCGCGCTCACCTGGAAAGGACATGCACAGAGAGACCACTCAATGTTCAAGCATGGCGAATCAAATCAAAAAATGTTGGGGAAGGTTCAGGAGCCCTTAAAGTTTTAAAGCATGCAGAGATGCTGTGCAGTCCTGGCAGTTCCAGTAGCCAGGACTGGCATCCTATGCAGTTATTGGCGTGCCAAGCGTGGCCATGTACGGCTTCGACTGGTGGGCGTACGAGATCTTGACCTTGCTGGCCGGTGGCCTGCACAGCCAGACCCAGCTCGCAGCTCCAAGTCGGCAAAGTCAGTCATGAAGGTCATGGTTTCCATGCATGAAGGCGAAATACCCACCACCTAAGGCACACGTCGCAGCAACAAGTGTGCCGTGACTGAGAATGCTGTTCTCGAACTGCCACGAAGGAGTTTTGAAAGTGAAAGGGATGAATCGAGACAGCTCTAGACGGTGCTTGTCTGCTGAGTCGACCCCAGTTTTAGACTCGCTACATTCTTGGAGCCTAAGGCTTCGGACTGGGCATTCCTGATGGTCAGGGGTGCTCCCAAAGCCGCAACTGCTTTGGTCGGGGCAGCTGTGGGCCGAAAGGACTTGAACGCAGTGTTCGTCGTGGTGCAGGTGTCAGTGCTGGGAAACACGTGCTACAACAACTATTTAAGCAGGTGCGAGTGTAAATACACCGGTACACAAGCAGAGGCATGAACCGATTTGTTTTCAGACTCAGACTCTTCAATGTGTCGTGTCGGGTGGAGGATTGACGAGATGTGCCGCGCGAATGCACCCAGAACTGCCAGCGCAAAGACTGCAAAGATGTAGACCACGAAACAGGGAGATACCACGCGGTGACAAAAAGCCCAAGCGGAGCAGCTGAGCCCTTGACCCTGAGCGGAGAATTCCAGTGCGGATATTTACTTATCCCTTTGAAGCAGTGGCGCAAACGGCGGAGATGCCAAAGTGACAAGCTAGGGGAATTTTTACTGCCGTGAATACTGCCGTGATGCAGCATTGCCACAAAATGTGGACCGCGAACGTGGATACCACCCCTGGTGATGCCGTGCTGAAAGAGAGAGTGCTCCGTCCCTCCCCTCCCTCCCTCCCCCCCCTCCCTCCCTCACTCCTATCGTTATTGTGTAAGCAGGCGTACAGAAGTGCATAAGCATGCATGCGCCAACACGGGCTTGCTACATGTTGCTGGTTGCTTTTGCTGGTGAAAGTGCACTCGTCTGCAAGCCGGGCCCATGCATCCAGAGTGTGCCTGGGGAGGCATGCATGAAGCTGACGATCATCATGTGCGGTGCGCTTGTGTGGGGTTGCTTGGTTTGGCGGCATCAGCTTCTCGGCTGCATCGCGTGAGGGCATCGCATGCAATGCAGAAGAAGCTGCCTTGATCACGCTCCCCTAGAACGGTCTTGAAACGTACTCGTGCGTTGGTTTGGTGTGACGCTGCAAAGCAATTTGGGGAGAGACTGCAAGTGCCAGGTTGGCCCACGCACTTCTGCCTGACGAAGCTTCAACTCAAAATATTTTTCTACGCTGCTTGGCTGATATCACACTTGCTCGCAAGCGGTGTTCTTCAAGAGCTTACCAGCCCAAATCCGGCGTCGAGGTTTACTTCCTTGCGTACTTCTGCAACTCTTGGCTGATGGGGTAGGCGCCTAAGATCTTAGTCGGATGATTGGCGGCAGTTGCTTGGTATCGAGACCCGTTCCCAGGTGAACAGTTTGTGTAGCGGCGTCTTCGCTGGATTGGGGCGGCAAGGAGCAGTCTCGGCAGGACTATTTGCATTTCAGTGGGCCCGGTGCCCCAGTGTCGGGGCAAGGGTTGTAGCCCGGAATCCAGCAGACAATGCTACGCCGCATGTATAGCAGCACTGAGCTCCTTCGACAAGTCGTCGATCTTGAGGTGGTGCAGCTTCCTGGAGCTTGGCTGCTGGGGCATCGCGGCCGAAACTGGTTGACATATGCGAGTGCACTGCATGTGGCGGACTCGCTCACAGGTTTCACTACGGTATGGGGGCGCTTGGCTTGCATGTCGCATCCTGCGCCACCTCTATCCTGAATGTGATCTACAATGGTATCCTTATGAGGTCTGGGGGCAGTCAAAATGTTTGCCTCAAGTTTGGCCTGACATCTTGCAGGTACTGCTTGAATGCTCTCCGGGCGCAGTGCGTGCCTGTGAAGGACATTCAAGCGTTGATTGCACTCGGCGCTTCTCAGTCACATCCTACGTTTGCCACAGGAGTACGCCATGTTGAGGGTGAGCGCTCACGACCATCAAGCGTGAAACGCAGATCGCCACCAAGCGAAGTTCAGGGCGTGGCTCGCAGAGCGTGCAAGGCATCTGCTCCGGCAAGCCTCGCGGAATTCTGGATTGCTTTACTCTTTTCCAAGCCCGTGTCTCTTGAACGAGTTCGGGCGTCCGAATACATATTGTGCATGACCTGTCTTGAGCAGAAAAGGAGCATATCAAAGCATTGCTACTTTCACCGGCTGTTCCTGAGTTCGCTGGACTCATGCCGGGTGAACCGATGTGCCAGTCCGAGCTCTGCTAGATCATTGATGCACCAGCTGGGGAGTAGTTGGTCGATATGGCAACGGGTTTCAACGGTCACAGAGTTCGAAGGATTTTGCTTGCTCGGCACATCCTCTTTTCAGCACCAACAGGTTCGACCTGCAGATGCCGTGAAGCAAAAAGCTCGAAAAGCAAACAAGACCGATACAGAGATCCCCTTCGACTGCATTGTGTCTACACACGAACTCCAAGTCTCGGTGCAAGAACATGAGGAGAGATGCTTTGAGTCTTCCTTGGCATGATGTCTGTTTGACTGCCGTCAGGCATCGAACTACGCCTGCATGTCAGCGATGCTCCGCGAGGCCGTGCGGAACCCCAGGAATCCAAAGCAGCCTGCGCGCGAGCAGTTAACTCGGCGAACGCAGCTGCACAAGTGCTTTTCCGAGCTTGGTTGCTGAGTGGTGCCGCAAATTTGGCCTTCAAGCTGCTTGTCTAATAGGCTGAAAACAAGTCCCCCATCCCATAAAATCAGGAACCGAGGCCAATCATGTGAGGCGTGAGTCTTTGACAGGTGTCCCGGTTTCACATGTCGAGTCTGGCAATGCACCGCCTGCAGAAAATACAACACAAGGGCGTACAGACGTGCAACGTCGCAGCAAGTGACGTGGTCAAAAGCTACGTAGCGTCCCCAGTGGTGGCATGCCACCTGAACATGGCAAACGACGCATTGCACAGCAAGCTCGAGCCGCTGCTGAGCAACTTAAAGGACAGACAGGTTTCCAGACAGAATGCAAGTGAAGAAGAAGACTGTGTAGGCTGCACCAAGCTTGGACAGAAAACAGCCGACACATGAACTCGGGATGTGAGAAGTCGTGCAAAGAGCGAAATGTTGCACTCGAGGAGCCTTCTTAGGCTCAGTCTGAATCGAGGGTGATTGCGACATTAGCGCTGAAGTTGTTTCGTTTTGCATCCAGCCTGGGGCCTGCTTTGCGTCTCTTGAACTTCAGTTTTGAAGTTGCCTCCTTTGGCAATTTGGCGTTGTTTCCCTCGGGAGCACTACATTTAGTACTACTAGAAGTGCCCTCTCAAAGATATCATTTTTTTCAATTAGACAGATTTGTCGTTTGTAGAAGTCTAGAATGCAAGAGCGAGCACTTGGAACAGCTGTCAAGCGAAGCAATCCTGTAGATACATAGTGCGGAAGGATGGCAGCTACGTGGCGGTGCTGACGATGCAGGGCTCGTGCTGCCCTGTGACACTTGCACATTGCGAAATGCAGACGGTCTCACATTCAGTCACGACGCATGGGTATCAGGCTGTTAGTAGTTTGAGACTATGCTTCTTGTCTGTACGGTGGTTGTACCCTATGGCCCTGTGCTTGGCCGCCATCTGGTCTGTGCATGGTTTTTGGGACGATGAGTCAGTCCGACGCGGGGACCACAAGCCCTGTTTCACGTGGACCCTTCAGAAGAAACTCGCAGCACTGCCTCTTCTTGAGCGAAGCACATATTCTTCTGCATCGGCGAGTGGCTAGGTTCTTCGCTGACTAGCTCCCCCTTCGGGCACTGTCGGACGGAGATGCATTTCATCTAAACTGTGTTGCAAGCCGTTCATAAACCATGAGAGGCAGCACACTGCAAAGCAGTAGCTAGACCTCCCAATCCCCTCGTAGCAGTCCGAAAACTGGAAGAGCGACCTCCAGAGAGCTTGAGGGGATTTCGGCATGAGCCTGGAAGCTTGCGAAAACTTGTAATTTATTCATCTGGCTACACAAACCGATGAAAATTGTAGTTCCCAGGTTCCAGAGGGCGCGAAGCATCCTGTGCGGCAACAGCATGATCCGCCCGCCCGGCGCACCCCGCTTTGCAGAGTGTTTGGGCCTTTTGTCCCTGAACTCGGATAGTGCCCTTTGGCACAAGTTTCAGTGGATAGAGGAGGACTCCTGGTTCTTATCCTGGTGGGATCGCGCACATCTGGTCGAGCTCGCAACGCGAGACTTGTCCTGGATGGGACTCAGCAACCTACCAGAGGCGGTAGCCATGCACGAGCTACAGGAAGAGAGCAGATGGAAACGATTGAATTTCATCCAATATTATCTGAATGGTGCAGATGATGTCGTCAAATATGAGAAGTGGGAATGGGCCTCCGAGACGGCAAGGTACTTCACAATCGGTCGTCCTGGCTGGACTGCTAAAGTCATCACTGGCGCCCGGGCATGTGGAGTGTGGAACACACCTTACTTCTATGTAGCTCCTGAGCTGCCAGACATCTCTGCTACCGAAGTCCGTGCTTCCCTCAGACGAGGGGACCGCTGCTCGGTGACATTCAAGGCAACATAAGGCAACCTGTTGCTTGCTAGTCCTCAGGTGTAGCCTCGCACAAGAATGCGCATGACATGGCACCGAACTTGATAGGGCTATCCGGTATGAGGTTATACTATGGCGGAGCCATGTCTTGCAGCGTTTCGGTGCATCGTCAACAGGAAATCTCAGAAGGCGTTGTAACTCAAAGAACGTCTCAGCAAGCATTTTACTGACAGAGCTAGACATAAGCGCTAAGTGTCCAAACAACAGGCGTTTTCGGTCGAACTCACCCTCGTGAAGTCGGTAGAACACACCGAAGAACACATCCAGCTGAAAGGTGACTCGTTAGCTCGTATGCTGCACCCGGCCGTGGCTGCATGGTGCCTGGACAAGTTCTGGCACAGCACCGAGGAGTGCGAGATGGCGGACACAGACATATCTGAGATAGCTGAGGCTGCAGAGCAATAAAACAGAGCAGAGTTGAGCCATGCGTTCAGTAACTCTTGTTCTTTGGCGCGTCCCTTTGCTACTGGGATTGAGGTGTTGCGTTCCCTTGGCGCTGCCGCTGAACGACAGGCGTTTGCTGGTACTTCCCAAGCTTCTGTAATCTTCAGTCGTTGAGCCTACGACCTACAAACGCAAATGCGACTCTTGCTGCTGCAGGAATTCCTCCTGGCAAACGCAACTTCCCGCAGGGGGCCGAGATGATCGTGCGTGGCATACACAGTAGGAACAGCTGGAGTTCTTTTGATCTGCCCACGCTTGTGACTCGCCGTCTTATAGAATGATTAAGACAATCACCGCAACCTTGGCGAGGCGAAATAAGGGCTCGTCGTTTGGAGGACGAGGAGGGCTGGGAGGCGGGAAAAGACGGGAAATCTTTGCGACTGGCAGCTCGGTGGCCTTGGCTGTTCGAGCCGGAAAATCCTGTGCCATTCTTGTGCCAGTAAGAGAGCAAGCCCGTGTGGTCTCCTATGTCTGCTATCATCTTGGAAGATCTTGAATGCATGCTGTTCACTATTCCAGTTCATTCTGGAAACCCTGATCGCATTCGGATGCAGATCGGCAAAGAGTGTCATGCGGGGCTCAGAAGGGACAGGCTTCCGTTGGCCTGCATGTGCGGATTGCAACCACTCCCCGAGTCGCTGCTAGCTGCAGAACGACAAGTCAGAGCCGAAAGCAGGAAAGCCGCAGGACTATCCCACGCAGCACGAAGGAAACCACCGCCAGAGCACACGAATCGGGTCTTCTCGTAGTCGCACGCAAAGAGACTTCACATATCTTGCCATACTTGCTCCCAAACCACCTGGCATACCGGAGTTTGGCAGAATTGGCGTGTCATCGACGAGCTTTGAATCAACATTGTTCCTGCTGCCTCAATCGCAAGCACGACTTGCAGCCCACTTGCCAGATGGAGCAGAACATAGTCTTCTGCGAAGCCTTCCACGACTTTTTCCCAAGCAAGGACTGCAAGGCCTCACGCGGCGTCGACAAAGACCCACTTTATTGAGTGCGGACGTGCAGACCGAACAGTACTTGACCTGAAACCGTGTGATCTGGCAAAGGCACCAGCACTGCAGAATGCTCCCAGGCTTGGGTCTATGGCGTGCACGAATTCCCGGCGCTGAGGGTGAGATCAGCCCTGTGCCCAGTCTGGCATGGTGGCCAAGTGCAGTAGATTCAGCTGCAGGAATCCGAGACAGGAGTATCGGGGAGAATCTTAGTGCCATTCACTATTGGTCAGAAGACGTCGTAAGCAATCATCCGGTCCCGCAGCTCCTTACGATCATGATGAGCAGCAGAACTAGATATGGCCAGAAGGCAAACAAGACCGAGCATGCTGGAGCATTAGGCAGTGCGTTCTGCAGAGGCACACTTGGATGTCTGCGTGTTTCCTCAAGCAGCCAAGGCTAGTCCGGGAGGTTCGGGGCCATCCGATGTTTCGGACGACATCAAGAAGTACAGCTCCAAGAAAGCATTTCGTTGTGAGCCTTTGCTTCTGTCCGTGCTCTGCTGGTATAGACGAATTGGCTACTAGGTGCGCAGCCGCGCAACCTCTCACAACATCAACTGCATCTGCGCCCGGAACTCCACACCTCAAGCCGATTGAACATTTCTGTCGTCGCCCTGTGAAGCAGGAAGTAATTAGACCCGAAGCCTGCTGATCCCGAAATGACGGTCATGGCATGGCCTTTCCAGGTAGAATTACCGTCACTGCGACTTGCGCGCATCAGGAAAGCAGAAGAAGAAGCAGTAGCCGTCGTCGTTGCAGTAGCCGTAGTTTCTAGCAAGGGCAGGAAGAAAGTAGTTACTATGTAGCTGTACAGCAGCAGCAGGAGTAGGAGCAGCAGCTGCAGTCAACCACTAGTACTGAATAACAAGTTGAGATTAGGTTCAAAGTTACTCGCGAATCTTGCCTAATAGTGATGCCGATGATGGCCGTGGTAGTCAGTACAAGTAGCACCAATCATTCAAGCAGCAGGTGCAGCAATACCAGCAACAAGACAGGAGAAGCAGCGACAGTAAACAATAACCACAACAAGAGAAGCACAACCAATTCGGATTTTTGGTTACCTTGGGCCCGGGCCGTGACGTGGATGATCATAGTGAGAAATGCAGGCAAAAGATGGCAATGGCAGCAACAGAAATCTCAATCGCACAATGGCGTAACTGCGAACGACGAGGGATCCGACGATGCTCCCAGGTCCTTAGAGAGTGGACCATTGCGCCCGCCCAAGCCTCAAAACATCATCTTGGCAAAGTGCTGTACTTACTTGCCGGATCGGAATCAGCTAAAGTTCGATGGACTGAGGCATGAGGATTTTGATGAAGGCCGGCTGACAGGTACTTGTAGGAGATTGAGCTGAAGCACTGCCCATGTTCTGGTCTCCTTGCAGCCGCCGCCAGGTTTTCATTCCACTTGGGACTACAAATTCACTATCCACATGGGGTGGGATGCTCTGCGGGCACATGATGTGGCAAGCATGTGCCAGGGCACGAAACCGCCTTCGGGTCCTGGGTTGCTGAAGTCACCTACACACATGCCAGGGCACAAGAGCACGACGGGCTTAGGGACGTCCCTGTCCTGCACGCGTGAGGTTCGATGAGGTAAAGAACTTAAAGAAGATGGTCGAGGGTCAGCTGCAGCCTCGGGGGGGGAAGGTCCAGGCATGAAGAAGGCCGGGGATGTTTTGGTCCTTGTGAGGCCAAACCGTGGGGCCGCTCCTCTCCGTGGAGCCCTTGTTCCTCAGCGCCAGGCTTCAGCTGGCAAAGCACTTCACCTCAGGTGAACACCTGAAGTCCAACAAGTACTCGCTCTTGCAACGCATCTACAGCATGGTCGAAGCCACGATCACTCGCGTTGCCACCTTCGGCGTGGGAGTGCTCGCACCAAGAAGGCAAAGTTGTCGGATTGTCCAAGGTCTACATCGAGATTGAGGATATCAGTGGTTACGCGGTGTCAGCAACTCAGACATGCATGCGGCAAGGCGAACCCACGCACATCGACAAAGGGATGGGGCATGGGCAATGGGGGATGAAACTAGAACGACCAAGCCCACAGATCGACTGGTTTTAACGCGCACCATGCGTGCCGCAGCTTCGGAAGTATTAACTGCACTCGGACATTTGTAGTAAGCAGTCGCTTCAATGATCGTTTGAGCTTCCAGGCTATTTGCGAACGAGGGGCACGGCCTCCAGCTGCTCGCGAAACCGCTGCATGCGGAGCTGAGCTCGGGTCGTGCCTTGTGGGTTGGCTGTCTTCCACCGATGGCCTTCGACGAAGCCTGTGCAAGGACGTTATCCGATATGACCTGAAGGGAGAGCTGGCACCTCGGAGATTTCGGTGCTGTCGATAGGCCTCTCTGATAACGCCGAGGGGTCCGGCGAGCAAAGCATTGCGATTCCATTGAAAACCAAGCAAGCATAGCAAAGCCTTGCGGCGTGTGTAATGTAGGTCACGCAGACAGACGAAAAAGCAGTCTTCTTCGACGAAGTGCTGCCCTCAGCGCTGCCACCCGCCCTTCCATGTGTCTTTGTGGGGGCACAGCATCCGACGGGACTGGTACACAGCCGTGAGGATTGTGCCATTGACCTGAAATTGCTCAGGAAGGTGCTTCTGAATGGGGACTTTACAGAGCGAGAACACAATAGGTGGGGCGCTTGAACTGTGAATCTATTCACCACTATTCCTGGCCTCGTTTGTGTCAATCTCACTCTTCGCAGGCTTCCTTTCAGGAACTGGCACTGCAAAGAGCCGCGCCTTCAGAGCTCCGCACCGGATGAGACTGATTGCTCAAGTTTGGCCTTCAGTAAATTTTCGGACCGTTGATGTATAGCTGCATCGGCTTTGGTGTATTTCTTGAGCAATGTACGGACGCACGGATGCAAGCTGCCGGAACTGATCTGCAGGGACAGCTGCCCAATTCTCAAGTGCCCCTATCCTGGACGGCTTCTCGTCTGAGGCTCAAGAAAGTCTTCAAAAAAGATGTCGACTGGCTGAAAACTCATGCGCCGCTCCCAGAGCTGAAGAGCGATCAGTTTTCGACATCCTCGGTGCCTGAGACTGTCGATGAAGCATGATGAAACCAAGTGGTCGACAAAATTGTCATACAGCATGTCTGCTTTGCACATGTGAAGCAGCAAAGGGGATGGGTGAGTACAGCCTCTATGTTGAGGCCGACAAGCCATCTCTCTGATCGTTAAAAACCCAATGCCGTGATCGTGTTGCGCAGATTGCCGCCGGTCGCGGGCCAGGTGCCAGAGTGGGTTGTGGACGGCTTAGAGGCTTAGAGAAGATTCACACTGCCGACGCGCCTTCAGAGTGCCGATACTCCGAGGCGGTGGGATGCCGGGGACACCTCTTTGCAATGACAATGAGCAGGCAGTGAGGACCAGTGCTGGCCTCCTGAAATACCTTCTCAGTTTTGCTACATATTTCCAGATGTTTGAGCTTATTGGGTGCTTCGAAAGTCAGGACCAGCACTGCGGCAGCCTTACACGTGCAGACGTCATGATAGCGAGTAGGCAGCAGGAACAGGGGGCTGCACTGGGCCTGGAAGTGAGGGTTGCAGACAATGTCCAAGGTGTCGGTCATCGATTACTTCAAGAACAAGCTCTCCTCCAATTCTTTCGGCAGTCTCCCGAGAAGTTTACATCCAATTCCGGGAACCAGAAGCTTCTTGTAATTTCATTTCTCCTTCGCCTCTCACGACTAGGTGACAAAATGTTGGAATTCGTGGATGAAGTTTGCTTGATCGATCAGAAGGCCAGCAGAAGCTACACTCGGTTCGGTAGCTTGTTGAGACATTGCTGTGAAATGCGTCTTCCAGCTGCAGTGCTGGGATACGAGACCACGGTCTCTTTAGCAAACTGGACCGACACCCATGGGCCGTCAGGAGAAGCTCGATAATTGGCAGATGTACGTCGTGGTGGGTTGCTTTGCTGCGCAGCCCTCGGCAATGATATGTAGCCTGGATCAGACTGCCCTTTCATGTCCAAGATGCTGGGAACCCATCAGAGGCGCTCCTCGTTGGTGGGGCGGCAGCTTGTTGGCTTTGCTCTTATGCTGTAGCTTTGCTCACCCAAAAGACCAAAACTTTGCACTGCATGTTTCGCTCAGGTTCTATGGTGCTCAGTTCCTTCGTTCGAACCGACCCCATGAACTGCGCTCGCCAGATGCATCGCCTAGAGCTCAGGATGGAGGTCAAACGCTTAGTAACTTGGAAATACTTTGGCTTGCCGACTTGTGGGCCATGTTGTTGCTATGTTGTTGCTGGCTGATACATCACTACTGAAAAGAACCCAAGGCATCTGTTTGAGAAGTGCGCATGGATTCAGAAGAAAGGCCCCCCTCCCCGAAGATCCGTTCAAGTTCAGCTCCGAGGGAAGCCTGAGCAAGGGAAGCAACTGCCATGAATTCTGGCCACTTCTGAACGCAACGCCAAAGAAACCGTGTGGCGTACTGCACGTCCTTCCTGGCCCGTAGCCCTCTTCCTCTCGTGGCCCATTTTCTTAAATATCCCCCAGCTAGATGAGCCAGAAGACTGAGGGTGGAGATGACAATGCGAAATCCCGGCATGCAGCCCGAGCCTCGATATGAGCCGACATGCAACACCGTGGCGCCGAGCCAGAGAAAAAAGCACCCGGCAATGAGGCCACCAGCACAAGGATGGCCAGGCCCATTTGTAGTGACTCGTGGCACTGGTGCAGTGACGTATCTGTGGCGATCCTCGTGTCAAGGTGCAATGTCTCCTGGATATCCTGCAGCATATCCAGGTTACCCAGGCCAGTATCCAGCCTACCCAGGAGCCGGCTATCCGCAGATGTAATGGGCTGATGGGACCGTTTTCCCATGCCCAGTTCACTGCAATAGCCAGAAGCTTCCGAAGTTGCCAAAGCAGGCCCATACCCTTGTCTCAAAGTCGCAGCAAGGAGCCGGCGGGCTGTGCCAAAAAGTGTTCCGAAGCATACAGCTTCTTAGTGAGCTGCTTTGTCAGCGACCAGAGTATGTCGGTGTAGTGCAGGCAGGTGCTAGGCGGGCGACGGTTGTGTCATTTGTGAGTGCTTGGCTCCTTCCCATACTGCTGTAAGACACACCGAACGCTCCAAATGACTCGCAAGTGCAGGTGCGATCCGTCTAGTCACTAGTCATTTGGCTGGCGGGAGGGGCAAGGTGTCGTTGAGTTGTCCGGCCATGGCGAATAACGCCTCTGCGCCAAAATCTCAGCGCGCCATGCTGCCGTCTTTGCCTGAAGCTCGCCTAAAGGAAGCATGATTCGGTAGCGGTCGTAGCGCTTTGGAAATCGCTCGGGCTGCTTCTGTCTGTCCGAGAGAGCCGAGGAGAATGTGATTCCAAAGAAATCAACGACCGTGCCGTCAGCTTCGGAGGGTCTGGAGCTTCTTGACTATCGGTGGAGATGAGGTGGTTCACTGAGACGGGCAAAGGCCAAGGAATCTGTCGCTAATTCGAGCATGCGGGACATCTTGAGGGGCCGAAGCCTCACGCACCCCTCGAAGATAGACGCAAGTCCAACACATGCGCGCGACTGTCTCAGAACTCCAGGGGCAATAGTGATGTCAAGACGAGTTTGCATGCCGAATATCACCGACCGAATTCCGAAACAGGTCGGCATGGTTGATTAGTTCGAATGATTTTGAGGTGTTATGACCTTGAGCTCAATGTGGCTTGCGTTGAGGGAGCAACAACTTGTTGGCCTTTACTACGACCCTCTTTGTCAACCAACTTCAAGCTTTCGACGAGAGAAGTCGTGAATGACAGAGTCGAGGAAAAGTCGAAGGCCGAAGCTGGAGGTTCAGGGAACAACGAGCTTGTTACCAGAGCATTTCAAGCTTGAGCAGAGACCTAATCAGAGCAAGTCAGATCTCGCTGTCATGCTGTTCAAAATCTCTTCTCATACCTTTCGTCGTGTGTTGCAATGTTAGGCTCGGCGAAGTTGGATGCCTTGCTTGGCTGTAGTGACCCTAGCACATTTTGTTCTGGTCTGTGAAGTGTCCTTGCATCCGAGGCTCTGCAAGCAAGCTGTTGCAGTGCTTGTCGGTGACATGCGTGCTGAGATTCAACAGGCACTTGGGATGGGGTTTGGAGCATGTTAACCCCGCCATAACACCGGCGACAGCTGCCATGCCGCATGTCGCTGCCATTTAAAAATTGTGAGTTAAATGCTCACCACATACTATATCGTGTTGTGTGCATGGTTCAGTGTGTATGTTACTCCAATTGGCAACGCATGTCGTGTCAATCCTGGAGATTTTTGTCAAGCTTCAGAAATTCGCACATAAACATTTGTCCACGCAAGTGTGTGACTGCATGCGTCTGAAATTCCACAAGCCTAGTTGTTTGTCTATCGATTTGTATGTCTATCCCTTTCAATCTACTACTACACATGCTGTCTTTTCTGGTGTTCTATGACAATTAATTTTAAAGCCAACGCCGCCTGCCTCAGCTTGCCGGAGAGCAGCACTGTGACACAAACCGGGAATGCTCAAGGGGGAGGAGGGGGAGGGAAGGCAGAAAACTGTGGGGTCGGTCTTGTGGACCAAAAGCGGGTGCTGAGTTGGCCTGTGGCCTCGGCGGATTTTGTTGGTGGAATCTTCTTACCTTTGCATTCCGTATTCTTGCATTTCCGATTGTACCCGCAGGGGACGCTCCAAAAAATCAACCATCAAACTCATGACCTCCAAGAAGCAGCTGAATTACAAAAGCTTCTGAGCCTAGAGCTCGACGACAGGCGGTCGGACTCCTAAAAGGCGAAGCACAAAGTGCCAGCGCCACTCGAAATCCCATCGCGGCCAAGCTGCTTCTCGTTGCGGACAATCTGTAGCACGGCGGCAACAGGTCCTATTCAGCGTTCAGGTTCCCGGTGTTCGTCGGAACGTCATCCTCATCATACAGTCATACAGTAAGCTATGAAGTATCAAAGTCACGCACATGAAGCACATAGAAGGATCGAGCATCCAAGCGTGCTCCCTTCAATGCCACCCCCTCAGCCTAGGCAGCATGCCGAGAAGGCCTGCCGGCGAACAGCTTAGATCACTGCTGCTTGCGGTTCTGCACGTCGCAATCACGGTCAGGATGCTTTGGGCAAGATGCGCGAGCTGTTAACGCACTCAAACTGGGAGTTGGGCCAAAGGCTTGACTTGCAAATGCAGGTCGGGCGGTTTTGCTGTGAGAGAGGGTTGGGGCACATAGTCTGGCCAGCAACTGCAGGAAGTAGCAAGTGTTCTGCAGTTTTGCTGCATCAGTCAAACACCTCCTTGGACAAGCTTCCAGCGTCATGGCAGCATTGCAGGTGAATGCCCAGCTTGGAGACCACATGCAATCTTCCCGGGAACTCACACTGGACACGGTCACACGTATCGAACAAGGTATGAAGCGCCACTTGGATGTCATTGACAGGCATTCCATGTGAAAGAGGCCCCTTTGCCATGCACAACCGAGGCTTAGAGGCCAGCCTTAGCCGTGAGACTGGCGACCTCCGATCAGAAGTGAGCAGAGTGAAGGCTGTGGGCAGTCTGTGGGCTGATCGCTCCGAGCTCAAAAACCACATCTGCGTGATGATCCCGTCAGGAGATTGTCACTGGCATTTCAACGCAAGTCGAGCGAGAATCGCAGTCAGCCACTGGCCTAGATTGGAGACGCCGAAAGGTTGGCGAGCAGAGCTGTCCACTAACGTCACTTTAAAGTGACTGCGACGTTCCCTCGCCGAGCTTATCAGGTGCAACGGCACGGCACGCAAAACATGGCCGGATTTGAAAGCCGGCTGATGGAGCAGCTGGCACACACCCGGCAGGAATTCGAAGATCACATAAGGAGCGCTTCTAGTCTGTTGGTGATCACACAATATTTGTTGCACTGGGGGCTGCAGTTCCAGAAGCCATGCGGTGAGGAGATCTTCCACAAATCTCGGAGAAGGGCTTCAGCAGCTCGTCAGTATTTTGACAATCTTCCAACATCGCCGCCTGAAGAGATCATTCGCTCACCAAGAGCTTCAATGACATTGCGTAGTGAGTGCTTCCTAAAGATACCTCGCAACCTTTATGTCAGCTTCCAGTTTGTCTCTCAGGCAGCTCGAGGACCTCACGACGCACTGTAGCACCAATATCCATTCCATTATGGATACGCCGGCAGCCCAAGTGTTCCCGATGTTGACTTTGCAGTGTTGTCGAGTCACAGAGCAAGGCAGACGTCGCTCAAAGCGACAGCAGAAAAGCGCTCAAGTGGCAGATGGCGGCATTGGTGGCCAATCTCGTGCATCAGTGCCTGCTGAGGATGACATCCGAAATCTTCCGGATGCAACAGCAGGACGACAAGCATTATGCAGATCTCAGCCTCCGCTTGGACACCAAGGTCGAGAACCAAAATGTGAAACCCGGAATGCAAGCAAGTCCCGCGTATATTGCGCCCACACCTCAACGTTATGATGCAGGCGACATTCCCATTGCCCTCTTTCGCCGAGGCATATGCTCACGCTAATCAGTCAAACGGAAACTGTCGGCGGCTTGACAACAGATGTTGCAAGATTACGGAATCTTGGTGCCAGCGATTCAGCATTGAACGGTATAATTTTCTGCAGCATTGGCATTGTCCCCAGCAAGCCCCAAACCTGGCCGGGAGCAAGGAAGCGGGTGACGGAGGACACGAGGATGGTGCTCTCAGAAATCACTAGAGTTCAAAAAGCATTGCAAGTGGACTATTTGAGCCTTGATCGCATGGTTGGACTTGTGAGACTGTCACTAGCCTCGAGAGAGCTGCAAGCTGTTGGAGTTTGGCTGGTGTCAATCGTTTGCGTGTGCCAGCCTCCTTGGTGCTTGTCTTGTGGTGTTCCGCCTCAGAGGCTTGCAGTGTGTCACCCCTGTCTGCCGAGGCCTCCGACGACCACGCGGTCACGAGTGGGAGTGCGGAAGACCAGTCAAAGCGACGGACAGAGGGGGGAACCAAGCTCCCCTCGAGAACCTAGAGGCCGGGTTGAAAGAAGCATATCTGGTGCTGGCGCTGACGGTTCCACTGCCATGCATTCTGTGATGTGCCCATGTCTCTCACGCGAGCTTGGCTGTCAGTTACCGCTTGGACAACTGAGGAGACGACACATTAAGCACGGCGGTGGCTGTACAACTTGTGACAGGCTGGAAGCTTCGTGAATTAACGGGTGCATGCTGGAAATTGCTAGCATTTCCCGGCGACGGTCTGCTTCTTCTACATATTGCAATCATAACCCTCCATACATCCGACCGAATTCTTGCCCTGTCAGGCTTCTCGACTTCCAACCTCCCTGGTCGGAGCCCCAAGCTGACAGTTGTCACTTCCATGACATCGCAACATGGATGAATGACCGTGGCAGCGCGCTGCGAATTCGCGCATCGCTGGGCTAAGTCGGTCAAGGGTTACAGATCAAGCAGAAATACCGTAGCCTCAGCCTTGAGCTGCCAGCAGTGCTGCCAGCTGCAAGTACAGCGTTTTCCTCAAGTTATGCTGGTCAATCAATCTAACCCCGTGATTTTCTCCGACTTGAACTCGGGCCAGGGTTTGCCACCACGAGTTGGTTTGCCCCGAAATGCACGGAAGACTGCTCCAAGCCTCTCACATCTTCCGACCCGACGTGGGGTTTCACGGTCTGACCCCTGTTCCGGCATGCTTGCCTACTTAAAACGCTGCCTGTACACTTAAGCGATCGCTTCAGCTGAGGCTCCCCTACGCTGGTAACCGCGCCTCAACAGCACTAAGCCCTTGCCCTATGCGCACACGAAAGCTTAATTACCGGTTTTATTCCGCTGTGCGTGGGGCCATGATTGCTGTAGAAGTGTGATCTAAGGAGCCTTCACGCAGCTTAGCTGCAGGGTGTTATACATCCGCGACAATGTTCCCACAAGCTTGTCAGGGTATGGGATTTAGCTGAAGAGGACCGATTTTCTGATCTACGGAATGCACAGGCAAGTCTCTCCGCGCTAACAATGCTGGCAACGGTGGACGGAGTCGAGCTGCATCGAAGGAATCTTGATGCGCACATACTTGGAGAAATTGTTTGTCCCCGTTTGGCTTCTTATGAGTGCTTTGCAGAAATGGAAAGGTCGCAGATCCGGACGACAACGGCGATGAGCCTATAGATGTTCTGATGAACTCTAGCGAACAGACGCTGACCGCAATTGGCCAAGTGGGCTGCTGAAAGTTGGATCCAGTTGTAGTACGAAGCTGTGAGTGGACATCAGCCAGGTAGAAAACAAAAGGTGACTTCGGTCTCAAATCGTAGAGAGCTTGAGTGACAGTCTCTACCCCCGCACCAGATTATCAGGAAGAGATTCAGGGACATCGGAATCCAGTCAGTGCCATGCCTGCAGCCTGAGAGCAGCACCTATAAGGCCTCGTATAGGGCCCAAGTGTGTGCAATGTATGCATGAGATTAAACCACAAGGGCACATGTTGAAAGAGAGCAGAACGTAGAAACAATTGGTTATGTAAGTTATGTGAGTGAGCTGAGGACAACTTCTTTTCCAGTTGTGGCGTGCAGACGGTCGCTGGGACCACACAAGCGGGGAAGCACTGTCTGTGAAGGTTCATTTCGGCCCAGTAGTCTTCACCACACTGCAGCTGCCTCGAAACATTCCGTGTAGGGCAGAGACGGCTCTTGGAACGTTTCATGCTGAGCTTTTCGCTGTGCTCGCCCCTCACATCTGTTGCGACTTTGAATGAAGCAAGGATGCCTCTTGGGCCGACTTGTCCCGGGAGACGATGAGGGATAGGAAAAAGAAGAAGAAGTCCGTCACGACGAAAGAGGCTCCAGCAGCATGCCTAGACCGAACTCATTGTGGTGGAGAGCCGTTGCCATACCCGCGGCAGGAGTCGGTGAAGCAGCAATCAGCCCGTGCGGCAAACCTGACACCGATGGATCCTGTGCTTGCAGAGAACAGGCATCCAGGGTCCGCATCGCTTGTCCCAGGCCCGAGGCGGAAGATCCAGTCAAAGTAAGTAGGAACAACATGAAAGCCTTACCCGGACCTGACTCATACATAGACGAAACTAGGCCACATTGAGTTTATACAGCATCTGGAAGGAGAGGCGACCCAAGATGAATTCTATTCGTAGGTTGGCCCGACACTTGCCACTACTACCAGCCGTATCTCTGGGAAAGAGAGTCCTTCCCGAAAGACTCTTGTCAAACTTGCTTGTATTGTCACACGCCTGGAGACCTCGTCCTTGCACATGGTGAATCTAAGAGGCTACGCCGAGCATCCGGAGATGCGGAGTCGGAGTTCACTGATAGTTGGGTGCTGCGGTTGAGGTTTCTGTAGCTGGGTTTACCCCCCCGCAGCAGAGGACAAGCTGAAAGAGAAGGCGACAGCTGCCGCCATGAAGAGACAGCATCGAAGCTCAATGGAGCCAGCAACTCTTGAACTGAGAGCTCATGTCCGCATCGAGCTGGGGTGGGCCGCCCTGCAGATGCCGGGGCTGCAGGTACAATGTGCAGGACTACTACAGGGACGATGGCTGTGCACAGCGCGTTGCAAGAAGCCCTCTGTTCGATAATCTGACGAGCCTTTTCTGCGCTACAAGCAGAATCTCTACGATGCTTCACTGTGAGATTCTTGTTGAGAATTCGCGCCTTTCTGTGGCGTCCACTAGCACAGCCAAGGATTTTCATTGTTTTACTGAACTCCATCTGGCTGGGAGTCGAAACCTGGATTTCCTTTTGGATCGGCGTTTCCTCTGCAACCGACGCACAGATGCCAAGCTGGCAGCGCAGCTCAGGACGCCGATCTGAATACAGCTGCCGTTCTGTGGGATGCGCCGCCAGCCCCTTCCAGCCAAACTCAGATTCATGTGTTCCGGTGCGTGCAATACATGAAACTGCTGGTTCTGCCGCCCTACTTTGTGGAAAATAGGGGTGTCCTGTGCGCCAGCCGAGGCATTCATCGTGGCTGAGTCTTGCCATATCATAACGCACCACAGAGAAACTATCCAAGATCGCTTGAAACTACTTGATGCAGTCGTGGAAACATAAGCACGACAGCATGTCGTCGAGCATGTCCAGGAGAATTTTTTCTGCTTGTACTTCACGGTCGAGATCACGATACGCTTCCTCGCCTTCTACAGGAAGCTCCAGGCATTCAAAGACTTCTGGTTCCTCGCATGTTTTCATTGCCAGTTGACCTTCCATGTTATCAGAACATGTGCCTTTGCTTTCTGTGCCGTACTGCAGGCTGCTTGCTTGCTAAGGTTCGATTTCGATTTTGCATTGGCCATTCTGATCATTGTATCTTTGCTGACATTCTGTCGTCATCTGTCGTCGGATCGCGCAGCTCATCAGCCATGCTGCTGGCTTTGTGGCTGTACATCGGGCAGACTTTGAGGTTGAGACGTGGGTTACTCCGCTGGTGCTGCTGATTGCCGGTGGATCCAGTGCACTGCCTGAGGGCTCCTCGATCCTCCGCCTCATCCGACTAGCCAGGCTGTGATGAATTCGTTGCACTGTTGTGCCTGCGCGTGCACGGTGTCAAACTACACATCACTTGTGAATCGAGCGTGTGCCCGCGATCCAGCTAAGTTAGGCTGGCCCCGCAGCACCCCTGTGACAGGCTGGTGAGGCTGACCCGTCTCACGCGGCTGCTGCGTTCCTTCCCGGAGTTGATGATCATTGTGAAGGGCCTTGCGTTTGCTGCCAGATCGGTTTGCGCACCTTGGCCCTGAAGACCTGATTTTTCAGCCCAGTGTTTTTTGTGTTGCACTGGAACATCACTGAAGCTAAAGCCATTTCTTGATCTTGCAATACGGAAGGTCTTCTCCCTGCTTTGGGTGCCTTGGCTGAGCTGCGATTCATTTCACAGCACTTGAAAATATTCTTCTTGGAGATGAAGTCCCGAAATCTCACACTTGGGTGATCTTGGGTGTGTCTCTGTGTGCAATGTGTGCTTTGTATGCGCAGTCTTGCCAGACATTTGCAGCAGAAGGGAGGCTCTCCATGCGCCGGCATAGGCGGCCACCACGCCGAACAGATCCTCCTTTCGCTAAGACTTTGCGACTAACTTTCGCTCTGATTGCCGCACTCGATCCGAGGCCATCATCACCTATGCATTTGCGATTCTGTTCAAGCAGCTCACTGAAGGCAGTAGCGTGGGGCAGACGCTCTTCCAATCCGTTCCGGAGTCCCTCAACACCTTATTGCTGCCTGCGGTTTTTGGAGCCAATGCCAACATCATCAACCAGATGCTTTTCTTGATTAGCGCAGGCTTTTGATAAGCCGGTCGTCCGAGACAGCCCTGACTGGGCTGAAGCCGAAGCCATGCGAAGCATGAGCTGGTCGCGGGATGTACCGCGCTTGTGCGGTGGAGGGCCGGTGGAGGACAGACTCTCTTGGGTGACCCATGGGGTGTTTGCGTTCTTGGAAGCGGTTTCCAAGGATCACAAATGGCAATCCTGGACTTTGGCCAATCATCGTGTTCTTTATGGCCTTGGCGCCAAGCCTAGTCAGTTGGGTGTCTGCTTTAAAAGCGCTGACCTCGGGCGAGACGGCTGAGAACTGAGGTATCCGTGACCATCATGTACATGCTTTTGGGTGTTCTGGTCGATGTCATCGGGGCAGTAGCTGCCACTGTGGCTTGGAAGCATACTAGTTAGCTTTGAAGGCGGTGAATGTTGGTTTGCCGGTTTGCTGTTTGAGGCATCCCACTTCAGTGCCGCAACCACTTGCAACCTCAGGAAAAGCAGAAGATCGAGATTTCTTACATTGTTGGTCAATTGAGAGAAGAACTGGAAAAGATGTCGATAGTGCCCGAGGACCTGGGCACTTTGGGTTGTTCGACTGGCTGGTTAAAGTTCAGCCATCCGGTTTGGCCTTGAAGCAATGGGTATGATGTCAAGTAATCCATACAAGGGCCAAGGCCTCAGCGTTTCCTCGATACGACTTGTTCCTCCGCAGATCTCCGCACAAGAATTCAGAGTCACGTCAATAATATCAAGCTTGTGTAAGTTGAAGTTGCCAGGGCATATGAGAAAGTGCGCAGCATTAAACTTGGATAGAGCCAATCCAATCTGTCATGCTAAGTCACCCAGCTGGCTGGTAGGACATGGCTTTAAATCAGTGTCTTGGCTGAGAGTGAGCTGCAATTCATGGGCGGGGTGGGCTCTGTATGAAGCACAAACACAATCCAGGCAAGACTTCCAGAACCTGGTCATGGAGCCGGCGGTGGTGCGGGTCATGCAGGATGCTGGCGTGAACGTTGACGTGACTTAGCATCACTAAGTCACGCACGGCGCGATTGAAAGGAATGTGTTGGTGGTGCACAGGTCTTTGCTGACATGCTGGACTTGGTATGGGAGGACTCAAGCAAGCAAACTGGAAACATCACATTCACGGACCTCGTGAACATGGTCCTCAATATGCGAGGCTCTAACCCTGCCACCGTGAAGGCACGGGAGTGCAAACAGATGCAGCATCAGTCCCGCACGGTCCTGCCACGCCATGAGGCAGATGTCCCCAAGCCTTTCTGACTTGCTCCCCTATTTCATCCCATTTCCAGACATGTTTGCATCAAGTTGTCTGAGCTTTACATACTTGTACCTATCAGGACTGCAAGGAGCAGATCCGGGTGACCAACTCGTTGATGAGGCGATGCTTCGTGGAGCTGTCCGACGAACTGGATGTGACCGGGCTGGAAGAGTCACAGTTTCCCCACGTCGCATCTACGCATTCTACACCTGTGCGCCATCAAAGGAAAGGTTCTCACAAGTCCGCACTGAAATTCAGAACAGCATGGACGAGTACCAAGATGATGAGGAAATCACGGAATCGCAGGCGCTGCAATTCAGGAGCTACGAGGTCGAAGTGTCTGACATAGGCCGAAGAAGTGAAGCAGCTGCCGCTGCGGACGAAAACTAATGACTGCTCGTAATGAACATCTCGGTAGGACCGCGGCTGTGGAGCTAATCACAGGTCTGGCTGTAAACAGTTTGAGCGGTACTTGCATGCAGTACACCAATCCGCTCCTACCGACGTCGTTGGAACTGTGCAGAAGTCTGGGCGACAGGCTGTGCAAGTCAATGAAAGAATTGCTGAATTTCACTGTTTGGGCTGCAATGCCACCTACTAGCCGCTGCCCAGACAACGCCCAGATACATGTTAAGTCAATCAATGTTGATCTGACAGCTGCAGAGCAGCTCTGCTCAGAGCTTCAAGGAATTGGACCCTAAAACCATGCAAAGCAGGTGAGGGTGCTGCCTTCAGCTTGTCGTCAGTGAGCCAAAAAGGCTGAAACCTTGGAGCACTGCGCAACCGATGAGCATTTGTCAACGGCGTTTTTGAGGGTCGCATGGTTCTATAGTGGCAGCAAAAGGCGAGATCTAGCCGAAGTGAAACGAGCTAAGGGGTAGATTGGATAGGCCTGTGAATACCGTAGGTTCCGGGCAGATGTGGTTCCATTCCAGGGCTCTACAGAAATCAGTTGTGACATCGCGTGATGCTCAAACCAATCGTGTGTTGGTTTTCTTTGTTGTTGAATCGCCCTTGTTCATTGAGGCCGCTCGCATATCGTGATGCATCTGCCGCTCTCCCGATAAGACCCATGCATGGCCAAGAACCACGGGCCGACTCGAGCGGGCTCAGAATGCTAGACAACATCGCCAGGACAAGCGTCAGATCCGGTGCTCGTTCGAACATTGCAACTCAGTGCCTGCTGTTGTTCTTAGGTTGCGGCATCGCAGTCATGCCGTCCTCGGACGCCATGTGCAACACGTGCTACAGCAGCCCACAGAATCCGACTTGAGCCATGCAAAAGACTTCCATGCGAAAGATGCTGCTTCCAGCTCTACTTGTCCTTGCAGTGCTGCAGCTTGCAGATAGAGATTTGGCCCGTGGATTGTCTTGGTCGGGTATGAAACCAGCAGGACTGTAACAATTTTTGCAAATTTGCGCAAATTTTATGCGCAAGGTTTGCAAAACCTGCAGTCGAGCAGGTGGTGCTGTTCGGCCCTCCCTCCATGGCTTATACATTTTGGCCGCTCGCAACCAACGCGCACCAGCGACTTGGGCATCAATGCTTGTTTTCTGGCAGAACTGCTTGCAGTGTGCTGTTTCAGCCGTGGTCAGCCGTGCAAGTTGCCAAGTGTTTCGAGCCAACCGTTTGGACTGAGGGTTGGTAGGTCGAAGTTGGCGCTTCGTGCAAGCGGATCTGGCCAGAAGGGTGGCCTCTCGGACCCCAGCGCCCAGCGCAAGCGTAGCCTTGAAGCTGTCACCTCTGGCTTGTTCTTCATTCATTATTCTGCAAGCTTGGCGTCGGGGCTTTTCGACACACTTCAGGAACTGTCTACGTCTGCACGGGACCCTCCTGTAGGAATGACGGAGCAGAAGGCCGCTCTCAGAGCTTCGCTTGGGACGTTTCAGAACTTTTAGAGTGGAAAATGCAAACTTTGGAGAGGCTGTTTGCAGCTGCTCCGCAACGCGGCGCCGGAGGGTGTGCAGGTCAAGGCATACACGAGGGGACTGCCCAGCAATGTTGATTCTTCCACACTCTTCCTTTGGGCCGCCGCTTGTTTCTTCCCCTCCTTGGTCTTACGTCTTACATAGCCTTAACAAGCCACGGCCAGAATCCCATGCCATGTGTGTGTGTGTGTGCATGTGCAAGTGGTCAGTTGGAGGTTAGCACTAGTCAGTTAGGGATGGTAGCTACGGTCAGAGAAATTACGATCTGTTTTTGTGAGGTCGTCCGGGCACCATTGCTTTGAACATAGCCTTTGTGTGACTGCGTCACGGTTTCGTACTAGAGGAGACCGGCTGTTTGGGACCTTGCTCCTCGGGGCCAAACGTGCTCGCAACACCAAGACCAGCTAATGCGCCGCAGCTGCATGTTGTGCCGCTGTTCGGGACTTTCTGCATCAGTGTGAAAGGCTCCAACTATTTACAAGATACGGGCTGCCCCGGTGCAATGCAGAGGATGATACAGCCAAGGACCCTCTTGGTGGCAAAGGCCGGGAAGCCCGCAATGTTGGTGGAGTGGAGCAACCTGCGGGTGTTTGCTTTACAGGCGCTGTGGACGGTGCAAACGTGTGTTTTTCACAGAGAAGCTACACTAGGAAACAGAACAGCTGGCATTTTGCCCAGGCATTAAGGCCGAGGAGGACATGGCTGCTCGGAGAGAGCTGTAGACAGCGATCTGTCAGCGGGTGGGTGCTCGTCTTGTCCGGTGAACCAATCGCAGGGTATGGTACATGGACTGAGGCCCTTCTGTCAGCATGGGGTTTCCAAGCCGACGCTTCCTCGAACCCATTGTCTGCGCTGCGATTGCTCGTTCGGTCTACAGGAGCAGACCAGGCCAAGCCTTGTGTGTTGGCACTGCAGTACTGTAGTGGCAATGTTGGACTCCGAGGTATTGCATCATTTTCATCAGTCAACAGGATTGTACTAGTAGTGTGAGCGTGGCCGGCATAGGACAATCAACCCGTCACTTCAGCTGCATTCACTCTATGGAGGTGCCGTGGCCCATCCTCCTTTATGCAGCTTGTCCCAACCAGTCTGTGCCGGGCACACGTAGCAATATTGCCACTGGTTGGCCTCCGGCGGAGGCCACACGTCGTCACATGTGCAAGCATGCTTTGGCTGAGGTTGGGTTCAACTTGGTCAGGCTTCCCATTAACATCATTTTCCATGTAGATCTCCTTCAGCTTATCAGTCAGGCTGTCAAACCCTCCGCCTAGCGGAAGGTGACATTTTCCGGTCAGACACTGTGACACGGGGCGACAGAGTCGTCACCTGTCTGTCGGGGCTTGCAGAGCAGGCGAGAATCGGATTCGGAAAAGGAAGCGTGCATGCGGAGGAAACGGATGAGCAGCTTGTCGCGGCAGAGGCCACGGGTGTAGCACAGTTACAAGCCATTGCAACAGGACTGCGCCTTGTACCGACGACTACTGGCTCGCCTTTTGGTGCTGTGGAGGCTGGCTGCCAACTTGTTGCGACCCCACATTCGAGATACTCCTCCCGAAGTTGAGTAAGATGCTCAGGCATGTCGGTTGTGGCTGCAGCAGCTGTGGAACGTCGGGTGGAGAGAAGTCCAGATAGAAAGAAATTTACAGAAGCCGTTTTCGTTCTACTCGAGACTGCCGAACGACCTAACGACCTGTCGTTGCCCGTGCTGCCAGGCAACTCGAAGAGCCAGTGCTGCAGCCGATGCGCACAGCTCAAACCTGCATGTGGGTAGGCGGAATCAGTCTGAACAATGATACAAGTCTTGTTCGAATTGCTTCAGCCCCTGTTTTCGCGCGGACAAGCTGTATTCAGGCTAGCCACGATCGGCCTCGACAAGCTGAGCGAGATGCCGTTTGAGGTCCTGCCGGCACGATGTCGTTGTCAGTGTAAGCCGTGCAGTGAGCAGCTGACAGGCTGCATCTGCCATCGAATGCACTCGCTCACTCGCTTCTATATTTTTCGGTGAACCTTGGATCTTCCACAGCAGCTGCACCGGATGCTCAGGAACAGCAAGGTGCTACTGGCAGTAATACAAGCGCGTACACACAAGGAGGAATTATGCCATGTATGGAGAAGCCAGTCGCTAAATTACTTGTGGGGTATTTAGCGTGACACATCAACGTGCTCTTCATGGCAGGTGTTGGTGCGGGTGCCTCTTCGTGGCGTCTCGGTGCCGCTCCGAATGGGATGAGGGCATGCATGGGTTTTGTGGGGCAGGCTGGTCCTCGCTCGAGTCACGACCAATTTCAGCGTACTGTTTGCATAGACAGTCCCGAGCAGAGAGGTTGTAGCACAGCGTTTCTGCGCATGCTTAGTGCACTGCCCGATCAGTGTTCATCCCATATCCTTTTCTGCACTTGATATGGTTTAGTTTACAGTTTGCAAGCCTTCGAACATGATAAAGGGAACACTAATTGATTTGTGCTAGCTGCTAGATACTGTGATCAAAATACGCTACATAAACTTGCCAAATTGCCAAGATACGCACAGTTGGCGGTGGGAGGAGGGGGAGGATAGTTTTAGTGCTTCAAAAGCTACGACTCCTATAGTGTCTTCGCCCAATGGAGTCCGGCGACGAATGGCCGAAGGCTGCTTGAGTGAGGGTCAGCAATGCGGCTCGTAGCCAGGGATGGCAGAACCCAAGCCGACACCGGCCACACCGGCACTACCTGCACCGACTCTGAAATCCGCCATCGATGAGAGCGACTCCGATGACGGACCTCGGGATGTGGAGATTGAACTGGAGCTGCCACAGTACAAAATCGACGAGCTGCTGGCTCAGCTTCAAGATGAAGCCTCCAGCCTCAAGGCGGAATTCCCACTGGCACACGTGGCTGCTGTTTCAGGCTCCAGGCCCAGGCTTCCCGCGAACTTGCCCTCCGCCGTTTCGCAGGCTTTTGGTGACTCCGCCGCCCTTAGAAATGCTGACCAGTGGGATCCGTTGACGAAGCTTGCACAATTCAAGCACCTCCAGGCCCGATACGCAGCGGTCAAGGAACAGATGGAGCGAGCAGAGAGTACGAAGCGGATTTTGCAGCAGGTCCCATGTGCAGGTGCATCGACCCCAGTGCAGGAGCCAGACACAGTGCCAGACCTGACACCACCGGAGTTCCCGCCTCCCGGAGGGCTCCCTTTTCCTTACTGCGGCGTCCCAGGCGTGCTGTCACCTCGCGCGAAGCCGCCTCCGGAGCCGAGCAACGACTTCACAGATGGGGATTGGGCCTACGAAGCTGTGAAGGAGATCATCCGAGAAGAAGGCCCATCCGTCCATACCCGCATGACCAAAGAGGAAGTCATGCTTGCGAAGGACGGCATGGACATGACCCTCAATCATCTTAGGACCACAGGCTCGCGGATGGTGAATGAAGTGCGTGAGCTGGAAAGGAAGATTGATGAAGCAGAGAATTTGGCTGAGGTGAGATACTTGGCTGAGAAAGAACCAGAACTCCAGGACGAGTTGGTGAGGCAGCAGCGCCTGATCCACGAGCAGCAGAGGCTGGCAGATGAGGCTCGGCTGGAGCTTGAGCTGGAGAAGGAGCGAGCATTCTGGAACAGGAGAGACAAGATTTTGCAGCCAGGGGAAGTTGATGACTTCAAACTGGAGGGTGATCCTATTCCTTATCCGGCTACCGAAGATGAGATCATCGCGGCTTCCCGGGTCACCTCAAATCGGTACCCGGCAATGCGCCACATGATGCCCGAACTTGCACCCGAGGGGGCAGGTCCTATGTCACGGTATCGGCTCGAGCTGCCTGCATCACGGGAGTATCACGGCCGAGTGGCATATCAGGCAGCAGAGCTCGGCTGGCCATCTCCAGCCGAAGCTTTGGCCATTGAAAACCTGGACTCGCCCAAGCACAGGTCCGCTTTGACCGGCCCTGAGCGAACTGAGCGAAATCCAAGAGAGCCAGAGCCAGGACCCTCACCACGCTCCCCGAGCCCTCCGGCAGGCGGATTTTTCGCAGGATATCAACAGGATCAAGGATTCGGGACACGTGGGGGTCCTCAAAGTCAACGTGGCGATGAGGAGGAGCTTGATGATCCTGTTTGGGAGGCAGTTGATGTGCGGGGAAGGCCTTTGGCACAACGGATAGGGAAAGCCAGCGCAGCCACGGACGATACCTATGTTCCGTGGCAGCCGCCCGCGATTGCCGCCTTTTCCGGATTTGATACGAGAGATACGCAACAATCCTCTGCTTTGGTTGAGCCCCCTGATATTTCGGAAGATGAGTATCCAGGCAGTTACGTCAAGCCGGCCTTTGCGGCCTTTGCCGGTGAAGCAAGTAGATCTGCTGTCGATTTCTTCGGGAGTTCGGATAGAGAACTTGCCGCATCGCCTCGACGAGAACCAGAAGAAGAGCAAGAGTTCGAGTCAAACGAGGAGGAAGATGAGGAAGAGTACGAAGAGGAGGGCTACTTTGGCTCTTTACTGACAGGTGCTGGCATAACGGAGCGACAGCCGAAAGCGAAAGCTCCGATTGACCCGTCTGCTCGCTTCATGGCGGGAGCTTGCATGACTCGCAATCCTCCCCTGGAAATCCCGAAAATCGAGGACGCGCACAGTCAGGGGCTCAAGGCAGTCGACCACATTTGTGACGTCTTGCTGCAGAAACGTCAGGATGGACAGCTAGGCGACCCTGACACTGCGAAGCTCGCTTTGGACTACGTCGTTGCGGTGGCGCTGCTATCCGAAAAGGTGGTGGAGACGGGCGATGCCTGGAAACATGTTGGCATCATAACCGACATTCTTCACTTTTTCCCACTTTGTGCCCACATTCACCTGTGGTCCTTGGAGGCCTTGATGTCCATGCTCCGGCATGAAGACAACTTCAAAGCTGACAGTCTGGCTAGACCTGTTTTTGATTCCGTAACGGATCTGATGAAAATCCATTTGGAAGACCGGGCGCTGCGGACAGCCACACCAGAGCTGCCCACCCGACTACTCGCAAGCATTGCCCTGGCCATAACACCGGATAACGTGAGGCGTCTTACCAACACACACGTCGACTTCGCTCTGGCCCTCATGAAAGAGCCTGATGTTTATCCTCTGACCACCGAGCACGGACTGCAGATCATCGTGCTCGCAGCCTCGACTCAGAATCTACGAGCGCAGACCGAAGCAGCCAAGTTTGCGCTTCGGTGCTTTAAGGCTGAGCCTCGACTAGTGCCCAGAGCTCTTCTGGCCCTGAGCACCACGTATAACGCCGCAGCCAAGGGAGGCTTAGGTGGCACGATTCAGGTGAAGGAACCTTCCCCAACTGATGCTATTGAGCCAGAGTCAGAGCACGAAGGCATGGTGCCAATTGCTTTCCGTGATATTACTACGACAATGGATGTCTACGCCAAGGATCGTAAAATCCAGGGAGCTGGGGCACGAGCACTGGAGAGTGCTATGGAGGTCACGGGCGTGAGCCTGAAGGCCTTGGTACGAGACGGTTTGCTTCGGTCCGTCAGCTTGGCCCATCAGCGATTTCCAGAGAGTCGTTCGGTTGCCCTCGCACTTTGCCGTGTCATAGGGAGGACAATGCTTCGGGAGCCCGACTTGGTATCTCCTGAAGTCGGTATCGCGGCGCTCTCCGCAGGAGCATCTCTGCCACGCGATGCTGAGGTGGTCGTGGCCTCTTTGGAAGCTGTTTATGTGCTTGCTCCGAAGCTCAGGGCCTTATGGAGTGGGGTGAGCACGGCAGCAGATCGGCTGGCGCTTGTTGCCGGCGATTTGGTACGACTTGGCGAGGTGCGCCACAAGGATTCCCACTCAGTTGGAATGCTTCTGGTCATAGTCACGTGTTTATGCAGCGATGGCCATGGGCAGAACCCCGGTGGAATCAGCGGCGAGCGATGGCGTCTAGCTTTCGGGAGAGCAGCCGGTGTCGCGGTGCCCCTGCGTGCGCTTTTTGAGCACTCCAAGAACTTGGACATGGTCACAGCTGCCGGCATTGCACTTCGCTGCCTGACTTATGGGACGCCTCAGTCCTGTGCACATGCTGCCAGAGCACGTGCAGGCCCAGTCTTGCTCAGCAGCCTCATAGCATATGCCAGCAAACCAGCAACCACGAGGGAGCTGCTCGCGGCCCTGGCAAACTGTGCAAGTGAGGATTCACTCCGAGAGGACTTTAGAAAGGGCCTACCACAGACTGCCGAGGTCATTTACAATGCCATGGAGCAATCTGCAGACAGAGAACCCGATGTTCTGGCACAAGGTTGCAGGGCTTTTGGTGCCTTGTATTCCTCTCGACAACAAGACGTCAACCTAGGCCTCAAACCCGGTGAGAAGCCTAAGCAGACATCGGTAGTTCAGTGGGCCAAGCTGAACAATGCCATCATGAAAACTGTGATTGGCATCACTGTGCAGAACGGGGGTGCCGTTGAAGGCAGTGCACTGGAAGTTCTCAGCGGCTCAGAGTCTCGAGAACAAAAACTCGAATCCACGCGCCGTCAACTTGGGGAGCTTTGCATGCATTTGGCAAATGGCTCTTTAGCTGCAGGCCCCCAGTTTGGCCGGCTTCTAAGCAAGGGAGGCGAGCCCACGGCGGAGTGCACTCCGCGCTGGAGCTCCGTCCGTCTGCGCCTCCAGGAAAGAGCAGAGCGCCGCAAGGGAGCCACCAAGGAAGAACCTGCAGATCCTGCACCACCAGCCAGCGATATCGACCTCGACGATTAGTCTTGTTAACGTCCTTGCCTGCCGTCTGAAAACAGAAGGCGCGGCGATGCCGGCATCCTTTCAAAACAGCCAGCTCTCTACCCGCAGTCCTGCAAGTGCAAAACACGGCTGACAGTTTCGCACGCAGTGTTGAGTCGAGACAAAGCAGACGATAGCCGGTCTGTCTCATGGTTGACAGTTAAGGATCATCAAGAAATGATAGGTATGTTTGCTCGACCTGCGTGGCAACCTATTCGTCCACACAGCAGAGGCTTGGTTGGGCTGTTTGTGGTCATGCCATGCAAAGATGTTGTGCCTCGAGCTTTGCTTTCCTCATACTGTAGGCCGGCGATGCCGCAATTCCCGCCGCTTGCTCCCGCCTTAGCCAAACTCGGAGTTCAATACTTCTCGTTTCTTAGCCGGTGAGTCGCGGTTCACCTGAGGCTTAGAGCTTCCTCAGCTCGTGCGTTCCAATGGTGTCTACTGGCCTGCGCAAGCTGAAGCAGTCTCGACATGACTCAGTGTCCAAGCCACAAAACAGCAGTGTCCGTGCAGCATGTTCCTAGGTGTGCAGCATGTAAACTGCAATTGCGAGAGCGGAAACTTCCCCCTTGCAGCTATTTTAGATGCTCCTGGCATCCCGGAGCCATCAGACCATGAGCTGGGACAACTCGCACTTCGAAGGTGCTGCGGATGTGTTTCCGCATACTCGAGTTGGCCACATACTTACGACCCAGCACGTAGACTAGAGGACCATGTTTCTGGCTGGGTGGCTGACGGCGATGCATCTTTGGACAGGCTTCGACCTTTCTGGAGTCTCTTCAGAAAAGACTCCGCAGTGGAGTTGCCTGCTCCACTCGAAGCGCCTGACGGTTGCCGCAACGGGCCGCATGACAGCTGCCAATTCGCCACCTCAAGATCCCCGATGAAGAAGCAGCGGACGAGTGAAGATATCATCTCTCGATATCTTTCTCACTGGACAGCCAGGATCTCGACCCCGTCCCTCACTCTGTGCCTGCATCCGCATGTGAACTTATCCCCAAGGAGGAAGCATTGCAGGTCTCAGGTGGCGACATGCGGAAGTATATTCGCTACGTGATACGAAAGGAAGAGCAAGAGAGGACGCGTGCATACAGAGAGAGAGAGAGAGAAAGCCTGCCGAAAGAAACAGAGAGAGCTGTGCGACCAGTACAAGGCCGAACTAGACAAAGAGAAAGAGAGCTTCGGATGGATGCGGAAGTGGCCCGCGCACGGACATGTCCATGAGCGACCTCAGAAAGCCTCGGAACTTGGGACCACCAGACTGTCGAGGTTTGTGACGTGTAGCCATCCATGGACGACCTGCACATGTCCACGCGCTGCCATCCGTGGGTCTCAAGGGTGTGCAAGGCACCCTGCATGGCTACCCAGCAGGTTCGGAAGTTCCGCCACGTTGTGAACTTCCGAAGCCGCTGTGGGATGCCATGCAAGGTGCCTTCCAGACCAAGCCCAAACTGTTGACGTTGATGCCCACGGAGACCAAGCCCAAATTGGAGACCTTGATGCTCACGGATGGCAGCGGTTGACCCATGAGCAAATCGTCCATGGATGGTTACACTTCAAGCAGGACCTCGACAGTCTGGTGTTCCTGACTTCCAGAGGCGACGCGACGGGGCGAGCGCCGGCAGTCCGAGACCTACCGTTCCAAAGTGTTGACCCGCGTGTTCGAAGGCTTTCTGAAGTCGCTCATGGACATGTCATCCAGCGAGCTCCTGGACCTGCTCAACAAGTTCTGGTCTGCATGGCGAAGTTTCGCTCTGAGCTGTCCGCCTGAGAACTCGGCTTTCACCAATGAAGGAATTCCGAAAGTGTCTATGTTGACATTTGCTTCATATCCCGAGTATCGTGAGGCGGCAGAAAGTGTCTGAGAAGGAAGAGCAGAAAACAAAGCAATCACCGCAAGTTCGAGGTTGGCAAACTCGTAACGAAGCTGCTGCTGCTCAGGGCTGAGCTACGCCAGTTAAGCGTCCAGATGCCAAAGCCTCCACGTGACGACACAGGAGGCTCTTTTACACTAGTCTTTCTGCAGCATGTGCAACGCAGCTTCCTGTTGACTAAAAGTTTGGCTTGCGCAAACGGCTTGGTGCCAAAGACCCGAGCTGCATCCTTTCGTAAAACCGAAATAGAGCTATCGTGACCTGTATTTAGCAGGTCAAGGCCATTGACAATGCTCGCCGTTGTGTGCAGTGAGGCCCAAGTACCGGTCCCGCAGTCGTTTGTGATCCAGAACTCAGTGAGTCAGCCATAGTCAGCCAAAAGTATGTCGAATCGCCACCCAGGAGCATTTGGAGTTAATAGGTTTCTGAACACAAAGGCCACACTTGGCAATTGCGCTGCAATTCCTCGCCCGATTATCGTACCCTCTGCGTGTCCCGAGTCAACTCTCAACGAAGGATGATCACAGCAACACATCTTAGATCTAGCTGAGTCTAGCTTCCACGTCGACCCTGCTTTTTCAACCTTGAATATAGCAGCCACACGTATCCGGCTCGGGCCGCGGAGGGCGGCCGGGAGCTTGGGGCAGCCAGGGGCGAAGGGCACCGCTTCCATAGTTCGACTGTTCTGCCTGCAGCTGTTTTTTACTCAGCCTCGCTTCATGCTTCGCCGGATGTCGTAACGAGCCTGTCAAGATCATGACCGGTGCCCAGGCCCATTGGGGGATTGACTTCGGCAAGTGTGACACGACCATGCCTTCATAATTTTTATGGATCAATCTGCCAGGTCCAGTTTCCGATCATCGGCCAGCATGACAGCAGATGACGGAAATAAAGGCCTTTGTCAAGATTGCGGTGCAGCCAATCGAGAGATCTTCAAGGACCATCTCCGATGATAACTTGTTGGTATGCTGTGAGCAAAGCGACACAGATGCGCCAGAGGTTCGGCGCCTTGCGAAGATTTCCATAGTCTGGATATTCTGTGACTGAGTTTTGCACACACTGCTGTATCTCAACTGTCTAAGAGATGCAATGTATTGCAAGGTAGCTTGGCATTTCCATTCCAATCCGAGAAACCATGACAACCGCAGCGAGCGAGATTTGCCGGATTCGGATTTGGTGCAGATTTGACCAAGCCAACATTACATGATACATCTCTGAGATCCAGATCTGTGTGTTTTGGACTGCCCAAGCCGACAGAAACTTCCTCAGGACCTCAGTGACGGAGGACTGTACTGCAAAGAGTGCGCCTTGCCAAGAAAAGAATATGTCTCAGCTGATGGTTCTTCAGTATTCTACAATGTCGGGAGCCCAAAACCAAGCAGCAAACATTCCGGGACCCAAGTTCTGCAGTCAATTTTCAGACCACAGCTCCGCAAGTGGGGATGGCCAAATCTGCAATGACGATCCGAAACCCCTTTGGTGAATAGCCCTCGTACAAGCTCCCCTGGTTGAACAAAGATGAGTTTCTGTGGCCAGCCCTCAGGGTGCTCAATCTCGTCACATGCAGGGGGTGCTTGCCCCATGAGGTGCTTGAATTGAATGCTTGGACGATTACAACTTCAGCAAAGCACAGACAGCAGCCGGCGTGCGCTTGGACTGTGTCTACACCGTTCAACAGAAGCGGATATGAACCCTTTGGTTTGAAACCGCATCTATGGATGCATCATAAATTTCTGCTCAAGCCATGCGAAGGCTCGATGCATGAAGTCTCCGATGTCAGTTGAACGAACTTGAGACGGAGGAAGTACAAGTAGGAAGACAAAACTGCCAGAACCGACACTCGGCGGTGCTTCCAGGGATTGTGATCGACTTCGGAATGAGAGCATCAGGTTATGCTGGTTATTTGGCACTCAGGTTGGGTGCTTTACTATGGCAGACTTCCGTTGCAGCAACTTGCGCCTTCGCGGAGTGCCGAAAGAGACCTGTCGAGCTCACAACTGGAGGACGATCCTGCCTACTTCTGGCATGAGTAGCGCAGTGCCTCGCATCAATTTCTGGCCGCCGCTGCTTCGCACATTGATATCGCCTGGTTGGGACATCGAGAATCAAGTCCCAACGGTGCGATGCTGAATCGCTATAATGCCTATAGGGAAATATGTCAGTCTGCCTGGCAGCCAAGACAGCTATGACTTCGTCAGGACTTGCTTCCAGAGGATGCTCCAAAGCGCCATGCGGCCCACAGCGCGGCAGCCCGGCCCTGGCAGAAGGGAAGCGGGCTCGAGAGAACATCACACAAGCCAGTCGTGACAATACGAATCAGACGAGCGACAGCAGCACACAACATGAGAAGACCCAACGAGACATGCCGGGATTGCGCCAAAGTTCCGACCAGCAGGGCGCACGTAGACGGTGTGTGTGTGTGTGTGTGGGGGCTTTGCTGCTCAAGATACCTATTCTGATTTCCACTTGCAGCCGTAGCTCGTGACATGAAGCGCGCCCAGGTCAAATATGCAGCTGGCAAGAAAGCTTTCTGCTTTCGCTGGCAGGCAGCTGGGCAAAGCATCCATTTTCAGACAACAGTACCCGCAGCTGGTGGCTCCGCAACGGCAGCTGCAACTAAGCTGCAGACACAAGGTTCCAGGTTCACCGTCGCTTCAACATGGAAGGATGCCCACCAGCTTGAATCTTCTATTCTTTCGGGCCGTTTCCTGGGGTTATGTCACTTCGCCAATGAAAAGCCACCAAAAGCAACTGCCCGTAGTTGTTTGATTGTCGCTGAGACCGTCCATATTAAACCATGACATCGCTGACTTTTGGAGTTCCCTAAGGCGGTCATTGCAAGATCATGCTACGTGAAGTTTGAGCAAGGCTGGACGAAGGACACGATAGCTTTGAGCTGCTGTGCTGCTAGCTGGGAGCTTGCATGGCCATGTGACAATGTGGCAGGACCGGGTCCACGAGTTCAGGAACCAGCACTGGCCTCAAGGAGCCCGCATGGAGCTTTCTTGCATTGTGGCCCAAAGTATGGCTGATGGACGGAGCCACGCAACCAAGGTGCTATGCAAAACTGGGAGGACGAGTCCTCACAAGCTCTCCTCCACAAAAGAGATTCAGCCAAGGCATCGCAGGCATGAGACGGCGGTAACGCAGGACGAATATCATGCTGATTGTTGCTTGCCAGGCACAAGGGAGCCCCTGCACGAGTCGAAAGAGTCAGATCCTCGTGCCGTCGCAAGCCACGGGCAGTCAAAGTCACAAGCCTTGCGCAAAGTGACACTGACTTGTGTTGCCAAATTGGGCATGGCGTTTCATGTGTGTTGACATTTGATTCTGGCCAGGCGCATCAAGCGTCACGAAGCCGCAACGAAGGATTGCCAAGTCTCGGAGAGCGGAACGTCCTGGTTTTGTTTGCTAGACCTCTGCGCTGCTGCAAGGCACCTCCTGCCCGAAACGCTTCATCCGGCGAAGCGTCCCCGCATAGATGAGTCCCCAACCTCCCCAACCAGCAAGTGGAGCCTGGGCGCAAATTCCGTCAAATCCGGCCATGTGTCACTTCACAGAACCCTGAGTTGAAAGTGGAGAGTCGAACAAGGAAGCTCCAGAGTTCCAACTCCAAGAACCGCAGCGGACAGGCTTGGGGAGAGCGGTGATGGAAAGTCGTCGTGTTTGTGCGGTTTTTGCTGTCGAGGCATTTCTGCAGCCTACAGACCTGAAGCTCATCTTGGATGACCCGCAGGCGTTGGTGACGTGTGGTGTCACGGAGCCGCGAACTTTGCAGATGGTTGGCCCCTCCCGGCTCATGATGTGCAGGCCTATTCTTTGCCGCACAAGGAAGTGCGGAGCATCCGCTCACAGGGCCTGGTGGGATCGCAAGCTTCCCTACCAGCTTCACAGCCGGAGACCCTGCAAGCAAGAGTGAGGCTGCAGATGTGCTGCTCGTGCATTCTGCATGGCTTCAGCTTTTTGTTGCATACGACCGCTCCTATCTTGGAGGCAAGCAGCCACTGATCTGGATGAAGCACCACGTGGTCCACAAACAGAGAGTTCGGATACAGGCTTGACTGTGCAACATCGCATCAGCACTTGCAGCAACAAGTGTTTGCTTGTGTGATAGTTGGGCAGGATTCAACGGCGGCTTCTTTGGCTGTTGCGGTTGCTGCTGCCAAGCACATTGGCGAGCCAATGCAGCTTCGGGCATTCGGCAGAAGTGCCCAGGCGGGAGGCCTGCAATAAGACAGGTGGCACCAGTTCTTGTCCAGTCAATGCCCACACCAGCACTCCAAGCTGTTGTTAGAGTTGTGGTTGCACCGGGCAGGTTCCCCGGGAAGGATCGTCACATGCCCTGGCCGCGACCAGAGCAAAGTTTCCAGGAATCCGAATCCAGGCGGGGAAGTTGGCAATGAAGCCGTGTCAACAGATGTCCAAAGAGACCCGTCATGAACAAATCCTGCAGTCTTCCGAATGCTGCCCAGGTGGATTTGCAAGTGCGGACAGCAGTCGACGGCTGAACTTGGAACACGATGCTACAGCGGTTGCTGCCGTGGTCAAGCCACCAGCTCCCAATGTCGAAGCATACAGTGCTCAACAGCCGATCTTCAAGAATGAAGTGGGTGAAGGGGATGCTGAAGGCCTTGTCAGCAATGTGTTGTCTTAAGCGTGCCATGTCTTCGCAGACGTGCAATGCGTTGATGCCAGGTTCTCAGCTGGAGAGCAGCGCACATTCTACAGCATCTGCTCCGGAGAGCCAGCACCGTCCAGAAAGCCAGCCAACACCCTTCTGCTGGGATCTTCCAGTGGCGAAGATTGTGGAGTCTGTGCCAGACTCGCTGCCTCCATTCATAGACTTACAAGAGCCAGCCGCTCTGCCGGCATCACCTGCATCGATACCAGTGCCAGATCCGCCTCGCGTCCTGGAGAGCTTGCCGACCCCATGGTTCAGCCAACCTACCCCCCAAGTGCAGCTGTCTGATCTGCGATACGTCAGCGATCTAACTCCCGTGCCACCTAAGCAAGAGGAGGACGGCCTGCCAGGCCTACCGAGCTCCAGCATTCCGGTGCCTGTGGACTTCGCTCTTGAAGAGAACTCCAGCCAGCGCCAGATGGCCTCGCAAGCCTCGGCTGCACCGGCTGCACCTGCAGGTCGGCTGCATCGCACAAATTCGCAGAATGCAGAAGGGAAACAGACTTCAGGTGGTCGACTTAAGCTACCCCAGCATGCTGCCTCTAACAGCGGACGATGTGTTGCACACCCTGCGACCTTCGTGCGAGCTTGGGCAAGCGGCGTAGCATGAGTGAGTTGGTGCAGCTAGTTGATGCCCTCAGCCAGTTCCGATGCCTTGTGCTTTGCCCTGCAGTCCCATCGAAACCTACTGGCGAGGCAACGCGTGATCCACAGGACACGGCTCTTCGGTAGTGCAGTGACCTACTCTTTCTCTGTAGAAGGATTCAGAACTGTGCAGCAAGCTCCACTATCCCCCCCGACAGCAGAACACCATCCAGCATAGGTCGAAGTGGAGAGTGAGCTGCTTGCTCCAAACTGCATTCAACTGAGAGGACTCTCCGTTTGCAACATCATTGGACGTACTGTCCTTGACGCGAGATCGGCTCCCTACAGGCAGCATCAAGCAGGCCGGCGATGCTCGTTCCGCCGATGACTCAAAACTGTCGGACAACCCAGCTGAGCATTCATGCATGATGCTAAGGATTCACGCATGGCCAAGCCAGACTCGAATTTCGCGGCGCTGCTGCTGCAGCGCTCTCGTGCAGCAGCCGCCACCCGCGGTGAGGCGCAAAGGCTCGGCGACCTGGACCTGGGGAGGGTCGTCGGGTAGTCATTCCATCTTTGTGCATCGATGTCGGTTCTAGCACCGACACTGTCGCCAAGGGATGCTTTCAAGAAAGAATCACTTCGCAAACAGAGACCACTGGAAGACTCAGACGCGACTGTGCCTTGCCTTCCATTATGAGGGGTTAAACAAAGCAGCCAAGTTCGCCAAGCGGGGTGTCTTGTAGAGTGCCGGGCGTTCTCTTTTCTGAATTCTGGATCAAATGCTGCCTCAGGCCAGCAGCGAGCCCAATCCCTGTGACGTAAACCTGAGAAGCCCCTCCCCCAAGAGTTCAATCTATCGGCCGGCCACTGCCAGAAGCTGCTTTCCTTGAGCTGGGGCATGTTGGGGCTGGGATGTACTCGTAGAACAGACGGTCACTTTGTGTGAGGATTTACCGCCGGCCTCGTGTTTGACGGCCGTCGGGCGTGCAACAATCTGCCGCTCTGCCAGCAACGTCATGTCAGGCACAGTGGCAAGTATTTTCGGCGGTGAGGAACTATGCATGCCTACTGCTTCGTGGAATCATGAACATGGCCCTGCTGCCCGGCCCCAGGAACTCTACCGTTGCTGAGTGGCATCGCAGTTTGGAGGTTTGACATAAGCAGTGCTTTGTACAGAGAATTCACCTTCAGAGGGGATGTGGATCCCTACCGTGGGCAAGCCGCGGTCGCTTTGCGGCGATGGTTTTGCAAATGGTGTACAGATTTTTGAGTTGCACCTCACCTTCGAGGTCTGATCCCCCATCTGTCGGTGGCGACCAACACTGACACTGCATGTTCGTTAAAATTGTTGTGGACCCGGCGGAGCCATCCAAGTTATAGGCAGTTTGAGCTTGCACAGCCTGTCACAAGCTCCTGAAGTACTCTCAGCGCCCACCGTACATCACAATGTGGCAACCACGCCAAGCACTACACTATATACTACATTCCAACCTGAGACAACTGCCCGCCACATTCCATACTGACCAGGATCCAGATTCCGGTGCTGCTCTCTTCAGACTATCAGAGCCCTCTGTGCTGAGTCATTATGTCTTTTGAGTCCTCATCTTGATGAGGTTCATGGGCCCTCCATGTTGTCATGCTAACTCGTGTTACTCCGATGTTCATTCTAGTCCGACTTCTTGGGCTACCCACATAGCCAGCCTCCACGGTGTTAGACACAAATAGTTGGGTTGAACCAAGGCAGACGCAACAAGTCGATAAGCTTGCTTCCGGAAAACACGGGCGAGTCCAGCTCAATGCAGTCAATCGTGCGAAGGTTTTGCTGCATGGCAGTAAGCTGCTCCATCCTCAGAAATGCTGTGACTACTGGGGTTATTTGCAACATGTTGTCGCAGGATTACCTGTGCCATCTGTAGCCCGTGGAGATACACGTATGTAGTGGACGATCTTACACAACCAGAGCATCCAGGCAATCTCCACGTTGCCGGCCTTCCCGATGCAGCGGATGAGGAGACCGTGAGGCAAATGTGCACAGCCTCCATCCTGGCCAGCGAGTTGCACGGGTACCAAAGCAAGCGCGCTCACAGGCAGCTGTTCGCAGCATACGGCACCGTGGAGTCGGTCAAGGATGGGGACCGGCTGGGGTTGGGGCCACTGTTGCCTGCATCGGGGTAGAGGTGATACCACGAAAAGGGAGTGCTCCGACCTATGCCTTCGTGCCCGGGCCTTGTGTTTTGCGCACAAAAAGCACAGCACCAATGGTGAGGCATGACCTGCCATGCCGCACAGCCCAGGAAGTATCAGAGCCCAGAGATGGCCTGGTTCCGAGCGCATGACCGACAGTCTGAAGTTACTTGCCGGGTGGCATCCATTCCTAGGCCAGATATGCCGTCGATGGTCTCACTGGCTACCAGCTTCTTGGCAGTTTGAATCGGTGGGTGTCGATGTCGCATCGTTTCCCCTCCCAGCTGCCTGCAACCAGGATCGACGGAAACACGTTGACCTTGCGCCTGACGAGCAATGAGCCACTAGAGGCTTACAAAGGCGCGGTTGACAGTCGAAGAACCGCAGCCTAGGGGGGGCCCATCAGATTGAAGTCTCGTCATCCAGCAGGCGGCGGAGGCGCTCCCGCCAACGCCGGTTAATGCCTTAAACTGTGTGAGTGTTGGGTGCTGTATGGCACGGTAGTAGTTTGTTTGGCCGGAATCGGTAAGCATGCCTGACTCCTGTGTCGTTGTTGGTAAGGGCCTTACCCTGGAAATGCCGGGCCTCATGGCAAGGGCACAGAGCTGAGCATGCCACGGCTTGGCGCATATCTTCCAGACTTCCTTATGAAGCGTGTTTAAACGGCACCCAAGGAGGACAGGGACCACCAGTACCACCGGTGGAGCAGGGCTGAGAGTTCCGAAGAGTCCCTTGCATCTCGGGATTGGCAGTCTTTGTCATGGGCGGCCAAGCACCTCAGCACCTCAGGCTGGCCAGTGCAATGCTTGGCGCTCAGCGCAAAGCTTGATTGGGAAGTCTGCGTTTCGGGGAAACTTGCTTCTTGTGGCGGCTGTATTTGGCTGCCCCGGAACCAAGCGCACAGGTTTACGTCGCGGGCATACCTGAAGCCTGCTCTGAACCAGAGTTCAGGCGCGACCTTTTTTATGAAACCAGCACGTACCACATGTAGCTCGAGCAGGACATGCATCCTGTGCATGAGCATGGGGCTATCGAGCCAAGCCGTGTCAGGGACTTCTTTTCCCGCTTTGGCGCAGTCACGTCAACGAAGCTGTCAGATCAGCTCGTGGCCCAGGAAGCATGGACGAGTGAACGTGCAATTCAAGTGCAGGTTCGTTCTCGCTTGAGCCAAGGACAAAAAATGGCACTCGATATGGCTTTGTGAACTTCACGACTTCGGAGGAGGCTCCACTGACGAAAGAGACGCCTCAGGACGGGACTGGAACCGTTTCTCGCAGAGGCTTCCAAAGCGATACAAGCCACCAACAACTACCAGCTTGGGCAGTGCGTGTAGGGCTCCTGTGGCACCAGAGACATGGGGTTTAAACTTGGGAGTGCACCCGTCCTTACATGTCCGCGCAGTCCGAGGCTCACGGTCCGGTTTGCAAACAACACGAAAGGACACGGCGCGAGCCCTGCAGAGGGCTACGTGCGCCTCAGAACGGACAGCGCGCCTTTGCCCCCGAGGCAAAGGCAAGGAAGGCCCTTTAGGCGGTCCTGGCTATGGCGGCCCTGGAGGAATGGCCGCGGCCTCGCAAAAAAAAGCGCGAGCTGCGCGAAACGCGCCCCCTTTCTCTCGGCCTTCTCTTCGCTGAAACCGAAGGCACCTGCAGGCGGAGGATACCCAGACGATTGGCCAAAATATCCTCCTTCTGACACGATGGTGGTGCAGGCAGCGACTGCCTTGCGAGCATGCCATGCCGAAAGTGGTGTTCTTTGCATTTCTGTGCAGGGCCTGTCTGCAACTCTGACGGAAGACAACATAAAGACAGTCTTCACCAATTATGGGCAGGCACACGGCATGCATTCGCACTCTGTAAGCCGGATTTCAGTACGGCCAAATCAAATTATGCACAGGTTCATCAAGTGAGGATCTTGGAGCAGCCGGGGCCAAAGAGCACTAGTCCTGACAGCACAACGGCTTCTTTCGGTGACGGCCGGCTTGGATTCTGTTGTTGCTGGTGCCTGGATCCTGCAGGTTCGAGGGACTCCTGTCAGTTGAAATAAAGACATGGCCTGAGCTGCCACCATGTTCGTGCTTCCTCTTGCGCCACTGCGCAGCCCCTGCAGCCGACCGAGGATGAAAAATGTTGAGCAAGCGGAGTGGGTTGTGGGCAAGCTTGCCTCGGCCCCACTCGTGACGAGGGAGTGGATGGGGGCGAACGAACTGTGTGCTGCCAGGACGGAAACATCCCACATACGTTGGAAACCCCTGTGGCGGTGTTCTTTGCGCATCAGCCTCAGCATGGTCACGGGGCACGCAACAGCAAGGACCTCAAGTTACTGAAGTTGTGAATGAGCTCAAGTACTGGCTAGTGCTTGAGATGCACATGTTTTGGATCAAGCGGCCAAGCAGGACTTGTTCGCGGGCGCTGACCCCGCAGTTGTTGTCCCGTTGACCCGAGACAGGCAATGCTGATGCAGAGAAGGATGTCGTCCAGCTGTGGTGCGCGTTTCCTTCTCCTGGGTGCAGCGTGCTTGCTGGTAAGCCTGTTGAGCACCGAGCCCACTTGGCTTTCCCCGGTCACCGGTGCCGGCGGTACATCGCATCAGATGGTGTCGCAGCCAGCAATGGCAGCAGGAGCTCTGACTGCAGGCGTATTTGCACGGGGACGCATCAGCGGCGCCCTGCTAGGTGGATGCCTTGCTGCCTGTGTGCTGCCCTTGATGGTCACGAGAAGCTGCAGAGTTGGAATGGCTTCGGTGGCACAGGCTCCCTTTGGATGTATCGAGGATGGTGCCACTGATCCCTCCCTTTTCATCCAGACGAACGTCAAGCTCGGTGACAAAAAAATGGACTTCATGAAGGCAGCTTCCAAAGCGGTGGCCGAGTCGCTTGGCAAGCCGGAAAGCTATGTCGCGGTTTCGGTACAGGATGACCAAGATATCATTTGGGGCGGCAGCGATGCACCGTGCGCACTGTGCAAAGTAATTTCGTTGGGATCCATAAACAAGGAGAATAATGGAGCGCTCACCAAAAAGGTATCAGAGCTGCTGAAGGAGTTCGATGTTCCCGCGAATCGGATCTACGTCAATTTCTTTGACCTTGAGCGGCAGAATGTGGGCTACAACGGTGCTACCTTCGCCGGCTGAGGGCCCAATGGAGCGTCCACCCGAGACGTGCCTCTTCAAAGTATTATTGCAAGACTCGGCGACCCCCTGCCTAAAGGATTGGCTACTATGGGAGTTCTCGTGCGTGGGAAGTCAAGATGAAACTGCATGAAAACTGGAGGCACCAAGAGCGGCATAGTGTGTTCTTGAGAAGGAGCCCTCAAGGCTAGGTCCGAGGTCGATGCACTGCAGTAGGCTGCACGTCTTGATTCTGTGCCCAAGGCCTCCAAATGGAGCGCGACACCCAGCTCCAGTTTAGCTTGACTGGTAGCCGTTAGGCGGTGACGTTGTGTCATCACTAAATGTGACTGCACGCAGCCTTTTCGGCAAATTAGCTTAGCACACGTGAAAGCTTGCAACTGCAAGGGACCTAGAAGCGTCACACACGCGGGACAGATTTTGCCCTGCCGTCCAGTCGTTTATGCACCTTACAGGCATTGGCTGTGTATGCACACATGGCGCATGCATCTTTCGGATCAGGCCAGGCCTGCATGATCTTCTCGACATGAATCTAAAGCTAACCAGGAAATCTTCGCTGCGAAGATTGGATAAAGCTTGGCCGTCCTTTCCATTTATTGGCAGTGTCACGACCATTCAAGACCAAGGATCTGGCAGAAGTCCAGGTCGCAGGCTCTCCTCTTGAGGATTGCCCCAGTAGTCGGAGTGCCAAACAAGCGGTACAAACTACATGACAGACTGTGGGGTTGCTTGTTGCATTCGTTTGATTCTATACATCGTTCGCGGTGGGTCGCAGTGTGAGCCTTGTTGTTGTGGAGTTGTCCTGTGATTGCTGCGACCCATCTGGAGCACCGATGGTGAAGACCGGTCTTGAATTCCTTGCCTGGCTGCGGCGGGGGTGAATGAGAGTCGGAATGAGCGAGGACTCCAGCTCGAGCTGGTCAGAGTTGAGGACGCGGCATCGACTGCTAAGCCCAGCCCAACGAAGCCATACACCTGAGAAAAAACGTGTCTGGATGTCTGTCCGTTGAAAACCCCGGCCTTATTCGTTGACTCCGTTTGTCTCTGGTCGGTTCCAAAAATCGAATCCAAAGGCAACGAGACGCGAAGGTTGACGGAATCCGAAAAACCTTGAGGTTGCAACCTTCTCATTCTCAGTCTCAGTATAATTCTTAGTCGCATTATTCTTATGATTATTGTTGTTATTGCTATTATGTCATTATTGTTATTCATGGGGTCATCTGATGGGCACAAGTCCCCAGAACACGCATTCATGTGTTGCAGGCGCCTTCGACGCTTTCCTCTCAGCGTCGGCTGGCGCCGGTGGCGGCATGTTTCTTGGTGCAGCGGCATGAAACAAACCCTCATATAATCGCTGGACGCCGCGTGCGATTTTTCGCAGAGGTTTGCGGCAGCCATGCTCATGCCTGTGGAGATAGCGAAGACACGCAGCTTGGCAGTCAATGCTGTCACATTGTGACATAGATCGCAGCTGAACTATCGAGCAACTCAATCAGCCGTCATCTCCTAGCTTGAGATTTACCGTCTCAGCATTTGTGCTCGTAAAGTGTAATGCCCACGGGAAGTTTTCGCGACTGAGAGAGATGCACGAGATCTGGAGTTGACAGGCATCAGTGTCAGCCAGAAAGGAGAGACAGCGATCCTGGGCACCATGAGGCGTGCAGAACGTTGCGCATTGCTCTGCAAAGCCGAGTGAATAATGAAGCGGAGGTGCTTCGGAGGTAGTTTCTCAACAGCAGCTCTTGGCAGGCAAATCGTCGAGAAGGACGGACTCCCAGGGCTTTTCAGCGGAGTATCTGTCAAATGCTTTGAGAAAGGCACGGAGAAGTTTGGCAGCAATTCATTTTTTAAAGGTAATCATATGAAGTGTTTGCACACGTTCCGCAATGCAAGATCCACACTGCTGACACAAAGCCAGGAACTTCGTGTTTTTCTATGTGTACGAAGCCTTGAAGAAGTTCGCAGCAGAACGCCAGATTAAGATCACCAACGGCGTGAGCTTGTGCACCCCGGTCGGGGAACTGTGTTTCACCGATGGCAGACTTTTTTGGTAGGATTGTACATGCGACTTCGAACCAGGTATGGGCTTTCTGGCAGGCATCGTGACGATGACTTCGATCAACCCTCTGGAGGTACTCTCCACGAAGCTTCAAGTTGGAACTGCCAGGGGGCCACTGAGCTTGCTTCGGCTTGTGGTCAGCAAGGATACTTCGACCAACTTAGAGCTTGTTGACTTCCCAAGTCGAGACGAATCTTAGATTGTCCTGGCGAGGATGGCTTGGCTGGTCTCTTCAAAGGATACTGGTTCAACCTCATACTCTGCAGCAATCCTGCCATCCAGAATACTGTGTTTGTCCAGCGCCTGGGCAGATTGAGTGCGAAGCTTTGCCCGGAATCCACCCCTGTCGTGATGCAGCTAGCTTGACGACGCTGCATGACGCAGCAGCATCCAAGGATGCAGGAGGCCATGATGCAGAGGAAGTTGCTGCAGGGCTGGTCGGCCAAAGTGTCGCTGACGTCCTTGGAAGTGAGGCTTGGTTGCAAGCCTGCTCCTTTGGAGTCTGAGCCACCTGTCTACGCGTGACTGCAACCTTAGGTTCATGTTGGGCGCTTTGGCGAAGGCGGGGAGGAAGCCTTGAGAAGGGAGTGCACCCGGTGCCAGGGCCTGCACTGTCGCAGGCCATCGCCACGATCATTACCTTCCCAGTCACCCGCATGAAAACTATGCTGCAGGCACGCCCAGACCTTTCACGTCCAAGTAATCCCCTGCCTTGGCGGGGGGCCGCACGGTTGTTTGGCTTAGAGTTCGACTGACACGGGGAGTGACATCAGCAGTTGTCACCGAAGGATGCCAAAAAGGCCTCCCAACACTTGCACGCAGCCAGCTGTCCCAGAACGTCAGTGGCGGGACTAGCCAGGCATCGAGCCGAAGGTCCCGAAGACATTTTTACACCAGGGTCACTAACTACCAGGCTCAGGAAAAGAATCCTCACGAAGAGAGATTTCACACTTGCGGTCACGACAGAGACAGAAGTAGAGTGTCGACGCTATGGTTCCGCCATGTGGCAACCTGCAAAAAAGTCACTGTGCATGCCGGGATACAAAGGGCCAGGTGACAGCGCCGAAGAAAATGGGAACCCCTCAAAGGACCGGGTGCTGCTACAATTTGAAAGATATACGGCAATATACGCGGCGTGTCGCTCATAACAGATGCGCCCTGTGCCTTGAAGCTCCAAGGATTATGTGGAGCCTTGCCTGCCTTGTGCGAGAGAGTCGACACAGCTCAAGGGAGCCAAAAGGGAACCAAAGTACGAAGAGCCACAGCACGGGATATGAGCACGGGGGGCAAACGGTAAAACTATCCTCTACAGACTCACAAGACAAGGTGCCTCCTGCGACTCTTTGCCTGGTCATGCACGTGTCTTCGGACTCGGAAGTCGGAAAGTATCGGCTGAGTCGGCTTTGTTCCAGGCTGGTCCGAAGCCAGAGGACAAGACCGACTGCGACAACGATGCAACGCCGGATGCCCTCCCACAGAATTTCTCCTTCAACTTCAACCACAAGGCCTGGCCATGAAGTCGTGAGTCGGGTGTAGGGTGTAAACATCAGGGCTCAAGCTGAGCTTGCTGAAATTCTACTCCAGTACGGTCGAAGTAAGCCATACCGCTCGGCCTTTTGCAGAAGTACATGCGCTCGCAGATCGACATGGAGCGTCGCAGCTCTCTATGGTGCGATCTTGCCGGTCTGTTGCCGATGTTTGCTAGGTGCCAGGCAAGCCGCGACCGAGCGAGCAGCTTTTCGAGCTGTACCGGGGACTGTGGCCAACTCTCTTGTGTCTTGGCGAATTCATGCCTTTGTAGTTTAGTCGCGACAAGTGGACACAGACTGGACAGAACCAGCCAGCCAGACAGGCGCGCACACACAGACAAAGCGAGAGAGAGGTACTGTAGTTGTATCTAGGAGGTCTCTCCCCTTGTCCCTATAGCCCTGGCGAAAGAAAGTAGTTGTATCTGTGGAAGACCTGGATGACCTGCGTGCCACCTGCCTAGTTGCTACGGTCATGGTTCAGGAGGGGTGTTCCTAGGGGGATGGGGGTGGTCCAGGCGCACGCAGGGGAACAGGACTGTTTCCAACCCTGCAAGGGGCCTTTCAGACGAACCGACGCACACCTTGAAGAAGTTGATCCTACACAAGCAAGCAAGAGCGACTTCATGACAATTAGTCACACTGGTAAACCCCCCTACATGACCATCGCTCATGAGGGAGGCATCGCTCTTTGTGTATCCAGCTGTTGTAGTTTGTGCTCTACTTGCCTTGCGCTGTTCTCAGGAAAGGAGTGCTGCAGGCAGCATTGATGTACGTGGTCACTGAGCAGCACTGTGAGAGCCAAGTCAGAAGGCACTGCAGAAGTTCGGCAGAGACATGCATCATCATGCATCTGAGGCCAAAGATCAAGTCACAAAGCTCGTTGTGATGTGCCTTTACTTTGTATGTTGGGGGAGGGGCTTGCGGACTGCAGGGGGTTGGGAATTTGGTGCCTCCAAAGCTCCAGGGCTTGATGTTTGAAACTTTTTGGTGCTCGTGCAGAGTCAGGTTTTCTACGAACAGAAAACAGGCAGCATCGATGCAGAAAGCACTGATCACATTAGTCAATCATGCGGAGCGGCCAGGATTCGTAGGGAGAGGACTCTGCTAGTTGCACATGCCCTCGCTGATGGCAGGTGCTTGCGAGGGATTTCGAGAAAGCAAAGTTTGTTCGCTTCGTCCTAAGGGCCTTTGGGCATGCCCGTGCCCGGGCCTTTCTAATTCAGGCTGCATGAGCCGGTGAAACCTCGTGCTGTTGTACACATATGTCATATACCCTGCCGACCCTCGGAATAGATCGAGGAGATTTGTAAAGAACAGAATTCGCGTTGTGTGTGCAGCAATGATCTTTTCTCGACCCCGTTGCTTTGCGATCGCAGTTTGTTCGTGTGTGCCTTTGTGTACAGACGTGCGAAGGCATGGGTGCTGGAACGTGTTGCGACAGAGCCAAGCTCAGTCTTTTCGGCAAGTTTGGCCACGCTCGTTGATGCAATCTACGGGTTGCATGTTGCTGCCATTAATGCTGCCGTGGATCTTTCCTGCATGGAGCATTCACGCGGCTGGTGCCAGCAACCGGGTACAGACTAGAATCAGACTAGAAGTCGTCTCTTGCGGCCACCTAGTGGCCGGGAGATGCTCCCATGACTCCCGTGTAGACACGCTGCAAACCGACAAGTCGCAGCTCGGGCTGCCAACTCCTTGAGCGGTGTAGCGTGGCATGCGGAAAAAGCACCTCAGCCGGCCTCGCAAAGCGCCGAATGGCAGCTGCGAGGCACAAGTTCGGCCGCTCGCAACCAGGCCCAGTGCTTCAATCGTGAATCGTGCTATTTGCGCCTTCACGGCCAAAACGCGCAGCTTGTTTGTGGCTGGAGAGGTTCACAACGCATGGTGGCATGAAGGCCACAGGGAGGTTGTGTCAGAACGTCTTACGCCAGTGTTACCGCGAGGGTTGCATGGTACGAGTCGCACTACCGCACGGCCAGCAAAGGGCGAATAAGGCGTTCGCGGAAGACAGCTGTGCAGGCTGCGTCCCTGCCCAAAAGACTCTGCCTCAGCTTCGCTGCCGGGTCCTGCATGCCTATCCGGAGTAAATTTAGTAAAGATGACTGCGTTGACCAGACCTTCGACTGTGCCTTTGAGCTTTCAACCCTGCCTTGGTTTTCGTACACAGCTACACCCGCTGGAATCAGCAAAACCCGAGACGAACGCTTAGCACGGCGCTTCGGTGCATCTAAGTGGGGGATGCAGTACTTCGTGGTAGCTGCTACTGTCGCCGAATTCCTTCGGCCTGAGGCCCAGCCACACCGGAATTCCAGAAAGCGGCATGCCTCCCAGTTAGCTCCGAATCCAAGACTGAGATGATCAGGGCCCAGGGCTGCAAGAATGCCGTAGTTTGCCAGTGCCAAGGCTTCAATCATGCGCCTGTTGTGACAACCCTGGCTAGGAGAATGCACCGAGTTGAAACCTGGAGGTCAGCGACACCATCGCCTCAGTGAAGGGCTACAAGCCGGTGTGCGTCTAAGAATCTACGAGCCTCGGGCTTTTCGATACCCGACCCGCCCTTCTCCATCTACGAGCAAGCAGACACGCGCGCACGCCCGCGCTTGATCCGGCATCCCATCCTGTCCAGGTCACTGAGCTGGGCGATCAGCCTGACCCGAGTGACTCCGGGGAGATTTAACACATGACTTAGTTTCGCTTTCGTGCCACATGCAAAACATAAGAATCTCGATGGAAATGGCTGACGCATCTGAGGTTATTTGATCATCAGGGCCGGGCACCTATCTCATTGTCTACATTGCTGAAGCCGATATAGATGAAATTACTTCCATTTTTGCCAGGGGTTGTCCCCTGACATTGATGAGCTGTATTTATACTATGCTCCTCGGCAGCAGTTACGAGACCAGGTTTTGACATCCTTGTTTCAGTTCTCATTTCCAATCCCGGCCTAGAGGTGTTCGCTCCTTTCGGCCACTGCCCCAGAAGGTTGCTGGCTCCTGCTCGTCATGACTTACACTTTTGAACCACAAGGCTAGCTTCGCTAGGTTGCTCTAGCTGCTGTAGGAACACTACTGCTAATCGCGTGCCCAGGCGCCATCCAAAGCGTACAGGTTCTCAAGGACGACTCGAGCGGCGCATGCACTGGTACGGCCTATGTGAAGTTCGGCCCGGATCTCAAAGACGAGAAATCAAGTACTCATTCGACAGGCTGCGATCAGGAGGTTTTGACCTCAAGGATTGCTCACAATATCCAAGGTGTGGCAGAGGATGCACTTCTAGCCATACAAACCATCTGCGGCAATCCACTTCCTGCACGGGGCCCAGTCAGGGTGACATGCGACCAGGTGCAGGATGGGTTCTCCTTGCTTCACCAGGACGGTTCGACCATCGGCGTGTTCGTCAAGCCCGGGGCAGGACGCCCCTTGCACCTGCGGACAAGCACTGCGTCGATAAGGTCACGTCGTGTCAGCATTGCTAAGAATCAATCTGAAGCACATATTCAGGAGGTGCGGCATGAGCGTGGCTTTTCAACCAGCTGCCGATGCTTCGCAGAGCGACCCCCATGCTTCGACGAAACTGATGCGCAAGGGCTGCAAGGCTTGCAGGATGAAGCGCCAAGCGACACCGCAGTATTGAACGTCGTTGAAATCTTGCTCACACTTCTTCGTCATATTTCCATTTTCCATTGGAGCTTTGCGCGTCGCAGGGAGCTGTCGACTCCGCAGTTGCATTTCTATCGTGCCAGTCCACATGATGCTTGGATTTGCTTTCAGCTGTTTGTATTCAAGGGTGGCCCCAGAGAGAGACCGCGGCAACAGCAATGTGGCCAGCCAATCCTCTGCCTTTGGAGACTCCGATGCTGAACAAACATCACATTCCGCATGAAGTACAATCAGACCAGGTTGGCAGTTATACCTGAACCCAGCGCAGCTTCACTTAAGTCTAACGTCAACGCAGAGCTCCATTCCCAAGATGGGTGCTGGACTTAGCAAGGCTGAAGATGAAAAGCAGTCTGAATCAAGATTCACAGTAGACGTACAGACGCGTATGACGCGTAGTCGTCAGTGCCAAGTCCTTGCAGGATCGGCAGGCTGTGCAAGTGCACACAGCAAGCACGACTTCATTTCGTATGGAGTTCTTTAAGTTTGAAGCACCGGCAAGTGTTTCAGTATGACATCGTCTTCACACAACTGCAGCACTGGCATGTCCTTGATGCAGAACACAGACATTTCCGAAACACTGGCATGACTAGCAGTCACTCAGAAAGAGATCCTGTTGGCCGTCTTCGGCAAGGGCCTGACAAGTCTACAAAAACAGATGCTCGATAGATACTCGTAGTCAGCTGCTTTTGACACGAGATGAAAAGTGAGGGACTTCATGGAAGCCCAAACCCATGACCCTGAGAATCTCTTCAACCGCCACGTTCTGCTTCCTTGACATGCCGTGATCCGCATCTCTGGGTCTCTTTGGGGGTCCGCTTCGATAGGTCGAAAGAATGTATCACCGCTACTGAATCTGTTCTGTGCAGCTGTTTGAACGCACAACAGGTGCGCATTGAAACAGTGTAGACTTCATTGGCCCGGGACAACGACCTGCGGCACAGCGACAGTCTGCAAGCACATTGACGAATCTGAACACCTGTAGCATGCAGCTGCAGTCACTCACATAACGGTTCTGGTTGGCCTTCCTACTGTCGTTTTCCCTTTGCCCCATGTGCCCACAGGCCCTATGCCTCGTTCTGCATTCCGAGCATTTTTTCCATTGTATTCCTTCCAGAAGCGATTGCACTTGATCTCCGCCGAATCACTGCAATGGTTTCAGAAAGTAGGTTAGTCTTTTTGGAGATTGAGACGGACACGTCGCAAGTATGTCAGTGTGGACACCTCCCGGATCTCCCCCCCTTGAAGCGCCCAAGACCACGGGCACCCGCACCCAGGAACACGCACCCACTGTTTCCCTCAAAAAATGCTTTGAAATCTTGCGTAAGCAGTGGGCCGGGACCGCCGGCCCAGACGCAAA